CTCTCTTTCTCTCCTGCCCCTTAGTGATCTCCCCTCCTGTCCCTTAGTGCTTTCCCAACCCTTAAATATCTCCCCTGCCCCCTGCCTTGATGATCTCTCCTGCCCCCTGTCTCATAGTGCTCATCCCTGCTCCCCCTGTCCCTAAGTGCTCTCCCATTCCTTACTGCTCTCCCCTCCCCTCCTATCCCATAGTGATCTCCCCTGACGCTTAGTGATCTCCCTTGCCCCCCGTCCCTGTGAGCTCTCCCCTGCCTCCTGTCCCTTAGGGATCTCCCCTGCCCCCCTGTCCCTTAGTGCTCTACCCTTCCCCTTAGTGCTCTCCCCTGACCCCCTGGCCCTTAGTGCTCTTCCCTGACCCCTAGTGATCTCCCTTGCCCCCCATCCCTGAGAGCTCTACCTTGCCCCATCCCTGAGTGCTCTCCCCTGACCTCCTGTCCATTAATGATTTCCCCTCCCCTTCTGTCTCTTAATGATCTCCCCTCCCCTTCTATCCCTTAGTGCTCTCCCCTGCCCCTTACTGATCTCTCCTGCTTCCCTGTCGCTTTGTGCTCTCCCTTGCCCTTTAGTGATCCCATAGCCCCTTGTGCGCTCCACTTACCTCCTGTCCCTTAGTGATCTCCCCTCCTGTCCCTTTGTGCTCTCCCATCCCTTAGTGATCTCCCCTCCCCTCTTGTCCCATAGGGATCTCCTTGACCCTTAGTGATCTCCCCTGCCCCTGTCTCTGTGAGCTCTCCCTGCCCCTTGTGCTTTAGTGCTCTCGCCTGCCCCTTAGTGCTCTCCCCTGCCTGCCCCCTGTCCCTTAGTGCTCTCCCCTGCCCCTTAGTGCTCTTCCCTGCCCTCCTGTCCCTTAGTGCTCTCCCCTGCCCCTTAGTGATCTCCCCATGCCCCCTTGTACCTTAGTGCTCTTCACTTCCCCCGTCCCTTAATGATCTGCCCTCCCCTCCTGTCCCTATGTGCTTTCCCCTGCTCCTCTGTCCCTTTAGTGCTCTATCCTGCCCCCTGTCCCTTAGTGCTCTCCCCTGCCCCCTTTCCCTTTAGAGTTCTAACCCCTCCCCTGTCCCTTAGTGGTCTCTCCTCTACCCCCCTTCCCTGGTGGTCTCTCTCCCCCCTCTCCCCAAGTGGTCTCTCTCCCCCTCCCTCCCTCCTCTGCTGGTCTCTATTTCCCTCCTTCCCCTCTCCTGGTGGTCTCTTTCTCTCTCCCCCTCCCCTAGTGGTCTCTCTCTCCCTGCCTCAGGGGCGGGCTGGGCTGGGGGGCAGGGAGGCAATTGCCCCCCAGGCCGCCCTAAATTCCTGTAAGGCCGGCCGCGGCGGGCCGGCCCTTTAAATACTGCAGCCGCCTGAGCGCTCTGTTAAGAGCCTCAGGCGGCTGCAGCTTCTCCCCTCCCCTCCCCTGTAGCGTGGCCGAGCTGCACTCCGGTCCGCGGTGGCCGGCCAGCCGGCCAGAGTGATAGGAGGGTGCACACTGAGTGTGCACTTCCTGTCAGTCCGGCCGGTTACAGGAAACAGAAACTCCTGTTCCGCGCGGAGTTTCTGTTTCCTGTTACCGACCGGACTGACAGGAAGTGCACACTGAGTGTGCACCTTCCTATCACTCCGGCCGCCGGCCACCGCGGACCGGAGTTGCTCGGCACGCTCAGGGGAGGGGGTAAGAAGAGAGGGAGGAGGGGAGGGGGTAAGAAGAGGAGGGAGGGGAATAAGGGGGAATAAGAAGGGGTAAGAAGAGGGGGGAGAAGGGGGATAAGAAAGAGGGAGGAATAAGAAGGAGGGAATAAGAAAGGAGGGGGGGATAAAAAGGGGGAATAAGGAGAGGGGAATAAGAAGAGGGGAGGGGGAATAAGAAGAGGGGAGGGGGGAGTAAGAAGAGGGGAGGGGGAGTAAGAAGGAGGGGAGATAAGAAAAAGAGGGGGGTAAGAAGAAGAAGGGGTGAGTAAGAAAAAGATGGGGGAGTAAGAAGAAGAAGAGGAGGGAGTAAGAAGAAGAGGAGGGAGTAAGAAAAAGAGGGGGGAGTAAGAAGAAGAAGAGGGGGGAGTAAGAAGAGGGAGAGGGGGAATAAGAAAAGGGGGAGGGCGGAGTAAGAGGGAGAGGGGGAATAAGAAAAGGGGGAGGGCAGAGTAAGAAGGAGGGGAGATAAGAAAAAGAGGGGGGTAAGAAGAAGAAGAAGGGGTGAGTAAGAAAAAGAGTGGGGAGTAAGAAGAAGAAGAGGGGGAGTAAGAAGAAGAAGGGGTAAGAAGAAGGGGAGAAAGAAGAGGAAGGAAGAAGAAGGGGGGAGAAAGAAGAAGGGGGGTAAGAAGAAGAAGGGGGAGCAATAAGAAGAAGGGGGGTAAGAAGAACAGGTGGGGAGTAAGACGACCAAGGGGGGAAGTATGAAGAACACAGGGAGGAGGGGGGTAAGACGAACACAGGGGGTGTGAGGAGAACACATAGAGGGAGGAGTGAGAAGAACACAGGGAGGGTGGAGGGGGGATGAGAAGAGCACAGGGAGGGTGGGTGAGTGTGAGAAGAGACCGCTAGGGGAGGGTGGGGGAGAGGAGAGACCACTAAGGTGCAGGGGAGAGCTCTACGGGACAGAAGGGGCAGCTCTATAGGACAGGGGCCAAGACAGGGAGCTCTTTCACACTACCACGCCACACACACACACAATGCATCCCTATACATACACAGAAACACAACATGCTTCCCTTACACACAGAGAAACACACAATGCATCCATTACACACACACACACACAATGCAACCCTTACACACAAAGACAATGCATCCTTTGCACACATACACAGAAACAGACAATACAAAGAAACCCACACACATATGCAAACACACACACTTCTTTTCTTACATACACACAGAAACACAATGCATCTCTTACACTCAATGCACACACATACAGACACACCTTGCATCCCTTATGCATACAAACACAGATTCACACAATGCATCCCTTACACACAACCAGAAACACATAATACATCCCTTATACACAAATACACACTGCTTCCACTACACACAAACACACTACATCACCTGCACAAACTGGTAACCCTATACACTACATACCATAAGCACACATATTAGATCCTCTACAATAACACATAACACATCCCCTACACACTCCACTCCCTGTGAGCGAACTCATGGGTGGGTGGAATTTATGAGTGGGCCTTATGGGCATACTCACCGTCAGGCCCTGGGGCCCAGACCTTGAGCTGTGTAAGGGGCCCCAAAAAATGGAGCTGCTTCCAATTCTCCCAGAACATTGAATTTTGTGACCACAGCTGCAAACAGCCTCCAGAGATCCTGTTCTACACCAGACCAGTGGAGCCAAACTGCAGCCCATCATCATCCTCATCTGCTTGTAAGTAGGCAATCTAGTATATTATTAGTGACACTAATCTATAATGTACCTCACATTAAAGGGACACTATAGCTTAATGAAGTGGTTCTGGTGTCTATAGCTGGTCCCTGCAGGCTTTTTAATGTAAACACACACTGTGTGCAGCACTGGCGTTAGTTCATATGGCAGATCATATGGGTGGGGCATTGTGATGTGACATGTGGGGGCAGCAAATTTTTATTTTGTCTAGGGCGGCAAAAATCCTTGCACCGGCTCTGATCCTGGGCAGGTGCACCAGTCTACTGGTGACCCACAGGAGGGGAGTGCACTGATTGCACTGCACTCTCCTCCTGTCCAGCCCCATCTTTACCGCAGTGCAAGTGCCCTCTGCCCCTAATTTACAGTGGCTCACACTCACAACAAGCAGTGCCTGGAGCCGTGAAGGAGCGGGTATGGCAAAGAGCTACTGATTAGCATAACATCAATATCCGTTATAAAACCAGGAAAAGGTGGGCATGGATGGTGAACTGATTTGGTGGTGCAATGGGCCACTTGACTGGTTTTGCCCCCCAGGCCTAAGGCTGCCAGCCCTCCCCTGCCCTGCCTCCTGGTGGTCTCTCTCTTCCCCGTGGTCTCTCCCTCTTCCCCCCTCCCCTGGTGGTCTCTCCCTCTTCCCTGGTGGTCTCTCCCCTTCCCTTGTGTGCCTCCTACCTCCCTGTGCGTGGCCGGGCGTAGCAGACAGCAAACACCTGTAACAGAAAAACATGCACAGTAGTGCAGGTAAATCCTAAAATAATAAATTAATCCTTTCTATAAAGGACACACCTTTGAATAACACTCACTTCCTCCAGAGCCACACAATCCCGGTTCTGGGTAAACAGATATAGAGGAGAAGGAAAACTTCCACCGTAACCTTGGTGCTTTTTGAGAGAGAGAGAGAGAGAGAGAGAGAGAGCGCAGAGGAAATTCCATAGTGTAAGATAAAAAAATGCTTTACTTAGGATACAGTTAAAACCTCTTAGTTTGTGTTGTTGTTGTACAGCACATAAAATAGGGCTGTAACAAGTCCACCAATTATGGTATGTGGTGCACCACAATACTTCAACTGTGGGTTCTTCGACCTTGGGCTATCCCCTTCTGATGACGTGAGATGTTACATAAGTGATGCTTTCTCTACAAGTCCCATGAATATCATCAGATGCCATCTTGCTTCAGCTTACTCTCCTCTAATTGGGCAGGCAAGTCCTTTCAATCATTGTACTATCTTATTAATGCTTATTTGTTACAAATTGTATTAAATATAAAAAAGACATTCTTATCTATACAATATCTATACAAATAAAAAGTATTCTTATATACTCAATACAAAGGAGACAAACAAACAAGTAACATTTTGGTAACCCTTCCAAATGGAGTAGACAGGGAGGCATCTGCCAAATGTCTCAAAACCCATCTCTCCTTAAAGAGATACATACAGCTTTAATATCAGAAATGGGATAAAATAGCTTGAAATGTGATTTGCTTTCATTTTGTTAACTTGTGAACTCTCCCAAGGCTATATATATCACTCTCCCCAAAGTGACAAGTAAATAGCTGTATGGTGGCATGCTGCTAGAGAGGATAGAGGGTGGAAGTAGGATCTGTACCAACTGCAGGCCCTAATGCCCGAATGCCCTCTATATTCACTATAGCCCATATTATTCACTATCTCCCCCTATTACCTCCTGCATCTACTAAATATTATATTACCCACTGCACCCACTACAGCCATGTGGGTAGAATGTGTCTCCAGAAACTTGAATGATTGGATGGATGACTCATAATGGTTAACATTTAACACAAGCCTCTTCAATTGAATGCTGCAACTTTAAGGCCCAATTTCCAAACCATCTCTGCAACAAGCCTCTTCAATTGGACGCTACAATTTTAAGGCCCAATCCCCACCCACCCTGGTTCCTTCCAACTTTATAGCATGCTCTTCCAGCTGCTTGGAACCACAATCAATCACCTCCTCATTCTATTCACATGTTATAAGTTACTGCAGTTATACAATTAATTTTCTGCCATCACCTTCAAATTCCTCGTCTACCTCTTGTCTCATCTCCCTATTTTAACCTTTAGATTGTAAGCTCACGGGCAGGTCTCTATACCTTTTGTATTGGTCTGCTTATACTTTATTGTCTTTTTCCCAATTGTACAGCACTGCAGAATCTGTTGGAGCTATATAAATGCCAGGAATAAATCAAATAAACACTACACGGATTGGCCAGAGTTGATTCACATCCTCTTTGGCTGTCCTCTCTATTCGGGGCATATTCATTGGGGGATTTATATTACCCCACTGACTGAAGTGCCAACTTATACCCTTTTTATCCCTAAAGAAAATGCACTATGTGACATTAAATGCGTGTTGGGACCTTTATCTTTAAAAGAAAACTGACATCGGAACAGATTAAAGAATAAACCATATTTTCGGTTGAAATTATTCTAAAACCCCATTTTGAGCTTGACTAGGCAGAGGGCGTCTTTAACAATCAATCCCCTCCCCCATACAGCGTTTAGGAAAGCGAAAGCTAGAGAGGACTGGAGAAGGAGAATACTGCATTCGATTCTTGAAACTGTTATCAGCACCTATCATCAAATCATGTAAGTGTTCTGATATTCATCATATTCTGCCTATCTGACTACAAAACCCTCAGAGGAAAAAGGACAAAACATTAATATGGACAAGGCACAAATGCAGTAAACGCATGCTTAATTGGGTATGCAGGAAGACATTCTGTTATGGAGGGAAAGAGGATTAGCCTTTAATTAGTACGGGGGATGGGAAGAATATACAATTTGAGAAAACATGTAAGCTTGCAATAAATAAAAGGTAATTTACTGGGTATCAAAGCAAATATCTCGTCTAAAAACATTGATATATTTTATATTTATATTCATAGCTAATTCACTGGCTCAATAATGCTGACGCAGTAAGGCATTTAACAGCTTGTTTACTTTGAGGATATACTATCATAAATATCAAAGCATTGTTATATCATATTATTTTTCAAGCGTGGTTGTTAAAAGTATGAGGTTTTTTTAAGTTATGCCTTTATTCTATAAATAGTGAATAATGGTGAGTTAATAATGAAATGTGCAAAATTGAGCCTAAAATAGCTAGCAGTTATTCACAATACAATTACATACTCTGTTGGAATTTTTGACCAAATGTACGTTTTTAGAGTTCTCCCGTCTTGAACAGCATAATAAGTAATTGTGCATTTCGGGGTCCTCTTATACTTATATGTGTAAGATGGCTGCCATGGCCGCGACCTTTATCATATAATTCTATGAGAAAGTACAGAATTCAAGTATTGTTGTTATTATTAGTTATAAAGTGCTAACACATTCCATAGCACTTTACAATAGGTGGACTAACAGACATGTTTTTTGCAACAAAACGAGCTGGACGCACAGGAACAAAAATTCTATAGACCTTAAAGGGAAAATTTATAGATAAAACATTTAGAAGGTTTTCTAATAGTATTGGATTATTTGGAAAGTTTATTAAAGGTTTACGTTACAGAGCCAATACCATATAGGCTCCAGACCATGTGAGTGGTTCTAGCTATTTATTTACCACCAATTATTACCCAAGACCATGTACACTATATATTTTTATTTGTTTCTTTTCTATATGTACCTTTATGTTTGCACTGTCAAGTTTGTTGTTACCCTCAATTGACAGGGTAAGTTAACCCCTGCACTATTTCTATTTGTATAGCGCTCCACTAGCTGGTATATATAATCTATACCATATATCTTCTCTATACTCATATCTGTCTGCATAAGAACGTACCTTGGGGCCAATTTGAATGTGTTTTAGTCTGTGTTTGTTGCGTGTTATCAGAGCAATCACCATTTTGGATGAAAACCTGCCAAGAGTTTTCTTTACTTCATCCAGCATTTAACATTCATTAGGTCCAACAATGTCAGGGTGTACTCTGATTCCCAAAAATTAAATCATTATTAGATGACTGGCCACAGAATGTGGCTCTACATTCAATGGGCTGATGTGCTGGCAATGAAGTATAAACAGTATAACCAAATGATTGCTGATACTACGTATTGCACCTTGACCTGTAAATGACAATGATGTTGAAAAATACGATTTATTTCTCAATCTGACTTTATCTTCAATGTGAGATGGAAAGCAGGGTCCTTATAGCTCCAGCCCCTTCGCTTCTTCTCCCCTGTTCTTTCTTTCTTCTTCCTTTTTATTTCCCTCTCCTTGTTGTCCTAAAAGCTGCTGCAGCTTTACTAAAACGCTGTTGGTGTACAGATTGCCGAATTGCTCCTTTGGATCTAGCCACTCTGGGCTTCTCGATTATTCTATATCAACCAAATGTTATTATGTTACCTGTAACCGGAATCGCCCGGGATACCCTCACCAGGCACTGTCTTAAGATATGATTTCCATGTTTATCCTCTCATGCAATGTTTCATACGCAAATTGTTGTGACATTGTTTGTGACATTGTGACAGAATTGTACATTGATTGTCTACATTATGCGCAACACAACTGTGTGTATCTGTACCTAGCACTAGTAAAATGTAAAATTAAAAAGTGTGTGCAAAAATATGAAATTGAGGTCATAATGTTTTGTTTCACACTTTGATATTATATAACACATGAAATAGTCACATGAACACTAAAACTAGTAGATCTTCAAATAAAGATTTTTTCTTTTTTCTTTTTTCAGTGGAAAACATGTTGTGTAGTAAAGCCCAACATTATAATTCAACTTTACGATACCTGTCAGCCTCCTACTCTGTGGCGGCAATCCCTAAGCCTTTATTGAAGCCTGATGTGTTTTACAACAAGCTTTTTATAAACAATGAGTGGCGAAATGCAACCAGCGGCAAAATATTTCCTACAATAGATCCCTCAACTGGAGGTGTCATTACGCATGTAGCTGAGGCAAACAAGGATGATGTTGATCTTGCCGTTAAAGCTGCAAAAGAAGCATTCCAGTTAGGCTCTCCATGGCGTTGTATGGATGCATCACAACGAGGTCAGCTTCTTAACTGCCTTGCAGATCTTATAGAACGAGACAGAGTCTATCTGGCTTCCTTAGAGACCCTAGATAATGGTAAACCTTTTGCAGCATCGTATGCTGGAGATTTGGACCAGGTCATCAAGGTGTACAGATATTACTCAGGTTTTGCAGACAAATTGCATGGAAAGACTATTCCAATGGATGGCAACTATTTTTGTTATACCAGGCATGAGCCAGTTGGTGTTTGTGGACAGATAATTCCATGGAATTTCCCATTGGTAATGCAAGGGTGGAAGCTGGCGCCTGCCTTAGCTGCTGGTAACACAGTTGTCATGAAGGTTGCTGAGCAGACACCACTATCTGCCTTATATATAGCATCCTTGATTAAAGAAGCTGGCTTTCCTCCAGGTGTCGTTAACATTTTAACTGGCTACGGTCCTACTGCAGGAGCAGCTATAGCAAGGCACAAAGACATTGATAAAATAGCATTCACTGGTTCCACAGAAGTTGGCCGTTTAATCCAGCAAGCAGCTGGAGAAACAAATCTTAAAAGAGTCACACTGGAACTTGGAGGGAAAAGTCCATGTATCATATTTGCAGATGCAGATCTAGAACTTGCGGTGGACCAATGTCATGAGGCTGCATTCTTCAACATGGGGCAGTGTTGTTCTGCAGGATCAAGAACTTTTGTAGAGGACTCTATCTACAGTGCGTTTGTTGAGAGAAGTATTGAGAAGGCTAATGAAAGAAAAATAGGCAACCCTTTCATGATTGACACAAAACATGGTCCCCAAGTTGATAAAGACCAATTTGACAAGATCTTTAGCTATATCAAAAGTGGCAAAAGGGATGGTGCTAAACTTATGTGTGGAGGAGAACGCTACGGAGATTATGGCTTTTTCATCAAACCTACCATATTTGCTGATGTACAAGATAACATGACAATTGCAAGGGAAGAAATCTTTGGTCCTGTGCAGTCTGTGTTCAAATTCCAAAACACAAAAGAAGTAATTAAAAGAGCTAACAATACTAGATATGGATTGGCTGCAGGACTGTTCACAAATGATTTGGACAAAGCAATGTATTTTACACAAACATTACAAGCTGGTACAGTATGGGTTAATACATTTAACATTGTGTCAAGCCAGACACCTTTTGGAGGATTTAAAGAGTCTGGAAATGGACGGGAGCTTGGAGAAGAAGGAATTAAACAATATACTGAAGTAAAAACAGTTACTATTAAAATTCCACATAAAAATGTGTTTTAATAAGTTTGACAACTTATTAACAAATTAGAGTTTGTTTAAACAGGGAGTTATGTCAAGATAAAAAAATAGATGCACAAAGAGGAAACTAAAATTATGTGACGAGAGAAATAAAAGAGAATGAAAGCAGGAACGAGATAATTAGACAGGTAAGTTGTTAACAGGAGGCAGTTGGTGGGGCCAAGTCAACAAACTTTTGGAAAAGTGAGAGGATTGTGTAATTATATATATTATTTTATATAAATGGGTAATGACACATTCAACATTCGCATCAAATAATTGGGTTGCATGTTTTGATATTTTGAAGGGACACCTGTTGCAAAGTGCAAATTACGTCTGTGTAGTCATAAAGTTTATATGCATTTTCCCAAAATTAGATCATAGATCAAATTCTACTCATATGTTTTTATTTCTTTGTCCTTTTTCACAGTTTACATCTAAACAGGCTCTGGATTTGGAAAGCAACTTAAAATAAATTATGCAAGTTGGATAAAACTTCAAACTTGGGTTTGAAAAGTTGGTTATTTTGGCCTACATTAATAAGTTGGGTTTTAAGTCATCCTTATTTACTTTTGGAGAAAAACAAACCATGTATGCTTGTCTCATCTTAAGTGAAACATTTAATAATCAAATAATTAGGTTTATGGACAATGTTATACTTTATGGACAATTTTTATGGACAATTCAATAAATAGCCCTTAAAATTTTGTAAAATTAAGGCATTGTAAGGTATTGAATAGCAATAAAAATGAAATGTATTCTTAATATAAACCAAGAAATGGATCGGTGTGACTACTGGCAGATGTAATTGTGCAGTAATGACTAATGTTCCTAATATTTAAGAAATCTCTTCTGATCTATCTGTAGAGAATGACTGAAGCACCTTTTATTCGTGGGCTGTCAAAGTCCTAGATTGCCAACTGCCATTTTATGCAAATAACATAATTATAATAATACTTGACATCTGCAGGACTGATATTCAGAAATACCAGTATTAAACAAAATTTGCAAAAAAGAAAAAAATATTTTATGTACCAAATACATTATCATGTATTCTGTCATGATAATTTATACTGAAAAATAATTGAGTTTGGCAGATCTTTTGTACTTTGATCCCTAGTTCCTCTCCCCCCACCCCCCTAAAAAAATATGTAGCTAAGATGTATTTCCATTGAAGTTCAAACAAACTGATCAGATTTTACTTAGGCCTCAATTCAATATTGTTGGATAAGCTTTCCAATTGACTTAATATTTTTAGATAAATATTTAAAATAATTTCAAATTATGAAAATGTAATTTTTATATAATTTTGTTTATATATTGATATGTTTTTGTTTTTTTACAAGATAACATTTTGAATATTTTGATATATTGAAAAAAATATTTTAAACGTTTATCCAAAATATTAAATCATTTGGAAATCTTATTAAAGAGCTAAGGCCCTGATTTAATATTTTTAGATAAGCTTTCCAAATGATTTGTTTTTAGATAAACTTTTTAAATAATGTTTTCAACATATAAAAAACTTTTAATTTATAACTAAAAAGTCAAAATTTTACAAAATTAAAATATGTTGCACAATTTTAAATCTTTTTAAAAGTTTATCAACAAATATTAAATCATTCAGGAAAAGTATATAACTTTAAATTATAAAAGTATTGCCATAGTTAAACGAACACTATAGCGTTAGGAATACAAATTTGTATTTCTAATGCTATAAACTCCTACTTACTGCAAAAATATGTTAAGTAAAAAAAAAAAAAAAACATATTTATTAAACTTTTATCCCTTGCAGCACTATTTGTCTTGCTGCTGATCCTACCTCCTTGCTTGAGGTTATCTCAGCCTATCCAAAACTTCCCCATAGAGAAGCATTGGTATACTAGTGTGCATGCACAGCAAATAATTAACATATAATAAGCATATAATTAGCATATTAATTAAACATATAATTAGCATATTAACTAAAGGTCCACTGCACATTCCAGCTTAAATTTTCTAGAACAGTGGTTTCCAATACTGGACCAGCTGTTAGAAAACTAAAACTCCCATGGGCCTTTTCAAACTAAAATGACAGTATATGCCTGGAGGTAATGTTCCTCTTTTTATTAACACTGAATATAGTTCATCACTCATTCTTTTTTATCCTGTGAAATAAAGAAATTTCTCTAATATTGTTTTTCCAGCTTGAATACATTCACAAGTTTTGTGTAAATATATTTAGAAGAGTGCCAATGGAACAAACAAAATGGAGAACAATAGTTATATGAAAAAAGATAAATATGTTATATATCATAAGGGAGATATTTGCTTGTCTCTTCATTTAAACTGTGTGATACCTTGTTTTGGCATGCTTGGGAGAGCCATTACCTTTGCACTCTCTACTCAGCAATTTACTTGAGCTTAGCTCATTAGAAATTGGCATTGCAGTGAAGATATGGCAAATAAGCAGTTTAATAACTGCCAAAACTTTAGCATATCATAATTAAGAACGGGAGAAATTAAATTGGTTTCTATTGTACACCAATAATAACAGGCTAATCTTGCTGGTGACATTTGAAAGATCCCCTGATATGGACAGCAAGGCAGGCACGTTTTATTTTCCGGTTTGTAAATCAAATGGTTTGGAGGTATTTCCAAAGGTATCTTGTTCTAAGGTTGGATGCTATTTATTACTGAAACCTTATCTAATATGTTGGAGAGGGATTGAGGAACAACACAACACTTGCAATGCTTATTGTAAGTTCAATGAAGGGTCATTCACTTAAAGTTTGGTGAGTGATTTTAGATGCTATTTTATTTTGAGGTATTATGTATGAAATAATTTTCAGGCTTGGTCTCAAATTAATTATCTTGTATCACAGAGCTAATCTAACAACGGGTCTGGGAGTATATGTATCTAAGTATGTTGGATTGTACAATCCCAAACAGGTTTGAAATACATTAATTGTAGGGTGGCCATCTTATATTCTGAGCTGAGCCAGACAAAGTCTATACAATCTCTGATGAAACCTAAAAAAAACTTTGTAATCCATTCTGAGAGCCAAATTGCATTTGCAGTAGATTGCCATTTCATTACCAAAAGCTCTCTCGAGACTGGTACTTCGCTCATAAATTGAGTATTAGGGATTTCCTATTAATTTTCTCAATTTGCTTGGAATATAATTATATTTGTATGCACTGTGACTATTTGTTGTTTATAATAAATATTTTGCTCTTGACTGGTACAAGAACCATGTTACTCGAAGAGACTTGTATAATAGTACTGTGGTTTCATAGATATTTTTGCAAAAATGTTTTTGTTGGCTTTCAATCTAATTTGGTTGGGTTATGGTAACCTAGGACTCCCCATTTTGAAATAGTTTTAGTGGGAAGATACTATAATTGTGGTGTTAAAATTGATTATTATATCATTATATGGGGTGATTTTTATTATTGCAATCATCTATTGCAGTAAAGGGGTGATTTATATTATTCCTTCCACCCACTTAAGCAAGTCACATGCATATCTGGAGTGACCTGATTTGTGACAGTAATAATACCAGTGTATAGTTTATTCTTTTCTTCCACCCGGTGGGCTGTCTGTGAGGCAGTGATGGGATAACGTAGCCTAGAGATACCAAGTGTCCTGGCACCTACATATTTGTATTGGGGCAGGAAAAACCCAGGCATATTAGGGCTTATCCCTATAATATATTAACCGTTGATAATATGCACTGGGCCAGGAGATTGCAACTGGATTTCTAAAGAATTGCATTTACAATAACTGCAGGTGAGTAGTTTTTTTTTAAATTATTGTTAATTTTTTTATTTATTTTTTAACTTTAAGTACAAATTAAAGATGGCAGCCACTTGAAGTTTTGAATGAACCTTTAAAATGTACTTATGCATGCTCAGCATTGCATAGTAGTGAGCACATGTATTGAACCCTTTTGGACTACTAGTATGACAGATCAACAGGTAAACTCTTTGGATGGCCAACAGAACCCTTCAGCTCTGGCAAAGAAAAATTAGATTTAAGATGTGTATGCTAAATAATATTCACAATAAATAGTAAGGAATTTTTTTAACTTATTGTAAAATGGGCATTTAGCAGAGCAAGTAAGAGTTTTGCTATTATCTCAGCTTCAACAAAAAACGCACGCATCGCCATTTTATTTGTTTGAAAATTAGGACTATTTACATAATCTACTGCAGTTTAGAAACATCATTAAATAATGCCTCTGCTTTGTCTGGTTTACAGCATGTACAAAAACATCATTGTTGCTATATAAAAGTATTTACTACAATTTTTACATAATTAAGAAAGCAATGAAAAGCATTCCGCATCCAGACAGCCTCTTCATTTCTGTACAAAAAAAAAAAAAAGAAGAAGAAGAATTAGAGTATGAATTATGTAACTGTATTTAGTAATCGTGATTTCTTCAGTAAATAGCAAGCTGAAAAAAACTGTTGGGTAGTTTAGGGCAAAACAGTTTGGCTGCAACAGCACAGCTTTTAGATTTTCTTATTTTTCAAAGTGTTCCTATATTTCTGTCACATATGTCACACATTTGCTGTCAAAGAATGGTTTACTATTTTGAGAATGAATTCTTTAGTAGTTTATTCACTATATGTTGAATTGTGCAAAACTGATAAGAATTGCAATTTTGGGCCAAAATAGTAAATATGAACTAATAATAGAGTTGGAAATTATTTTTATTTTCAACAATCTTGTAAATTTTTCATAATTCACAGTTTTAAAGAATATCCCAAATAATGAAAGAAAATCTGAAAATGGTTACACGAATTAATTTAGCATTCCTAAAGTAACCGGCAATATCAAGGGTGCTAAATCAATCCATCACAAATATACTAAGACTTAATTATAACCAACTAATCTTCATGAAATTGTCTTGTGCAGTTCTAGTCAATCACCCATTGGCAATTTTTGTAGCTGTAATATATTAAAAAATGTCCACTTACAATTGGTTGATTATAACTGAATTAATAATATTTGGGTGCATTAAAATGAGATCAGTATTCCACCAATAATGTTTTCTGATTATCAACTAGAACTGAATGAGTTTTATCAGTGAGATTGCAATCCAAAAATTACAACTTGGACTGTTGAGGACTGGGCTGGAAAGCATTGCACAACTACATCAAACATAAATGAGGGAGGGTCCCTGCAAGCTGTTTTAAACTAGTATGACACAAATTAATTTACACCCACAAAGAGTGATTTTCCATTTAATTACATATTAAAAATATTTTATTTTAAATGTTCGTGGCTTTTTACTAAATTCAGACGCTCTTATGTTATCTGATTATCCATCAGAAATATTGAGCCCCTTTACAAAATCACCTTATACAAAGATACATACTCACAAAGACACACACATTCCCACACATGTAGATATGCATACACCAGTACACATACATATGTTTTTCCAACACAAGCACACTGACAGATACAACCTGCCACACAAAACACATTGCTAGACACCCATACAGATGCATACTGCCAGACACAAGCACAGACATACATTCCTCACCACATACATATACACACTGCCAAACACACAGTTACAGATTGTCAGACACACACTGACATACATGCACACAGATACATCCTGCCAGACAAATACACACAGATACATGCAGGCAAACACATATAGATACAACCTGCCAGACACAAGCGCATTAAAATGTATAAAATACACTCTCCAGGAACTATGAATTAGCTTGGCCTCATTAACCATTCGCTATGTGAAGAATGAAGGAGAACCGCCAATCTTGTAACCTGCCTAGGGCCCTGTGAGATCTTAATCCCGCTCTGAGCATCCTATTCATTGGGAAGAATATTCTCCCACTAGTGCAAGGGGAGCTGTCAGTGCAGTCAGTTAAAGGGCTCACTCATTGACAGATCTTCAATGCAATCCAATTGGCAAAGACATTTCTATCTCCATAAGTGGACCACATAGCATTATGGGATGCTAGCAAACACCCCTTACCAAAGTGCTGCCCCCTAATAGCAAGCCTGGTTCTCCGCAGTTCCCTGCTTAGTAAAAAAAATCCAAATGACTGCATATTGGAGTTGTAGACCTTGTTTAATACTATAAACCATATATTTGAATAGCATATATTGCTGGTTGGGTAAATTGTCTGCCACTGAGCATCACTATCATTTCTACCCTTTTTGTTACCAGCGGTGTATTTACCGCGAAGCTGACAAGGCATTTGCGCCCTGGCAAATGCCCTGCCAGCCTCTTGTCCTGGGGGGCCCAGGAGCTGGCCAGCTGGTCACCTTAAGGCTCCCCCAAGGCTGGCATGTGCTCATGTTTCAGGCGGGCGGCGAGGGAGCTCTCTTCCCAGGAGTTCTTCCCTGCTCATCTCCCTTGCGCGCACCACAGTGATGCCGGAGCCGGAATATGACATCACCCAGGCCCCGGTATCAGGGCCCGTGCAAGGATTTTTGCCGCTCTAGGCAAAAAAATATTTGCCGCCCCCCCATATGTCCTGCTCACCATGTGACATCACAATGCCCCGCCCATATGCTCTTCCATATGGGCCAACGCCAGTCTTCACTAAGCGTCTTTTATCTGAAAAGACAGTGTGTTTACATTAAAAAGCCTACAGGCACAGGCTATAGACACCATAACCACTACATTATGCTGTAGTGCTTCTGGTGACTATTTATCCATTTAATGTGAGGTAAATTAGAGATTAGTGCCACTAATAATATATTGGATTGCCTACTTACCACCAGATGAGGACAACAGGCTGATGATGGGCTCAGTCTGGCTCCACAGGTCTGGTGTAGAAGAGGATCTCTGGAGACTGTTTTTAACAGTGCTCACAACAATTAACTAACAGGAAGCAGCTCCATTTTTTAGGGCCCTTACACAGCTCAAGGTCTGGGCCCCCAAGGCTTGACCGTGAGTATGCCTACAATGCCCACCCATAAATCCACCTACATGGCCCACCCATGAGTTCTCTCACAGGAAGTGAGTATGTGGTTAGGGGATGTTTTATGTGTTTTTGTAAAGGATGCAATGTGTGTGTTCTTATAGAATGTAGTGTATAGGGATACCAATTTGTGTAAGGGATGTAGTGTGTGTATAGTGGATGCAGTGTGTGTTTGCGTGTAAGGAATGCATTGTATGTTTCTGGGTGTGTGTGCAAGGAGTGCAAGATGTGTTTCTGTGTATGTAATTGAATGCAGTGTGTGTCTGTAAGGGGTGCATTGATTGTGTAAGAGATGCATTTTGTTTCTGTGTGTAAGAGAATGAGTGTTTGTGTGAACGTAAGGGATGCATTGTGTGTTTCAGGTGTGTCTGTGTGTGAGTAGGAATGCATTGTATGTTTCTGTGTGTGTGCGGGGATGCATTGTGTATGTGTGTAATGTAAAAGAGAGGGTTTGTGGGGTAGGATAGGGACTGAGAGGGGAGCAGCTCTTTATTTTTAAAAAAAATGTCATAGTGCTCTCCCCTCCTGTCAATTATTGATTTCCCCTTCCTTCCTGTCCCTCCGTGTTCTCCCCTTCTGTCCTTTAGTGCTCTCCGATGGCCCCCTGTCCCTCTGCAGTCCCCCCTTGGTGGTCTTCTCACTCCCCCCTCTCCCCCTTAGTGGTCCTCCATCCCTCCCCTTAGTGGTCCTCCCTCTCCCAGACCCCTTAGTGGTCCTCCCTCTCCCAAACGCCTTAGTAGACCTTCCCCTCCTCCCCCCACCCCCTTAGTGGTAATCCCCCCTTAGTGGTCATTATCCTCCCCTTAGTGGTCCTTACCCTCCTCCCCTCTCCTTAGTGGTCCTCCCTCCTCCCCCCCTTAGTGGTCTTCTCTCTCCCAAACCCCTTGGTGGACCTCCCCCCTCCTCATAGGTCCTTACCTCCCCTCCTTCAGTGGTCCTTACTCCCCTCCTCCCTCTCCTCCCCCAGTGGTCCTTACTCGCCCCACTAGCAGATCCAGGGGGGGGCAACAGGGCCAATGCCACCCCCCCTCCCCCCCGAGGCTCTCCCCTGCCAGCTAATGCAGGACTGGCATTGTCCAAGTGCCAGCCCTGCAATGTGCCTGCGGATCTGGGAGGGAGAGCAGAAATCTCCCTCCTCAGTCTGCAGGCACATTGCTGACAGCCGGCAGGGGAGGGAGAGAGAGGAGAGAGGACCCAGGAGCTCTTACCTGCAGTTCCTCCAGGTCCTACTCTCGTGAGCATGGGGCGTTGCCGCGGCAACACTCCAAATCTCGAGAGAGTGAACTCTAGCCCTGGAGCAAAGGGCTAGAGTTCACCTCACCACCACTGGGACCACCAGGGAATCCCCACCAGATTACCAGGGATGGAGAAATGTCCCCCCTCCTCCTCAATAAAGGTAACAGGGAGGGGGGACATAATTATATTAATTTTATTAAATAAAAATTTTAAAAAATATATTAAAAAGCCTCCCTACTCTCCTTCCCCCCATACAAACACTGCACACCCATAGACACATTTCTCCCCCACACACATTGCCCCCCATACACACACTGCCCCCCATACAGACACTGCCCCCATACACACATTGCCCCATACACACACATTGCCCCATACACACACTGCCCCATGCACACATTGCCCCATACACACATTGCCCATACACACACATTGCCCCATACACACACATTGCCCCATACACACACATTGCCCCATACACACACTGTCCCCCATACACACATTGCCCCACACATACATACACTGCCCCCCATACACACACTGTACACACACACCCCATACACACTGCCCCAATACACACACATACACACACACACATACACACCCCCACACACTGTCCCCACACCCACCCCATACACACACTGCCCCACATTCCCCATACACATTGCCCCCACATACACACAGTGCCCCTATTTACACTACCCCATACACACATTGCCCCATACACATACATTGCCCCATACACACATTGCCCCATACACACACTGCCCCCATACACACATTGCCCCACACATACATACAGTGCCTCCCCATACACACACTGCCCCACACACACATACAGTGCCCCCCATACACACACTGCCCCACACACACATACAGTGCCCCCCCATACACACACTGCCCCAAACACACATACACTGCAACTCTCACACACACTGCCCCCTCACATACACACTGCACCACACATACACTGCCCCCTAACACACACACTGCAACCCTGACATACACTGCCACCCTCACGCACACACTTCACCGCTCACACACACACTGCACCTTTAATACACACTTCACCCCTAACACATACCACTGCTCCTATGCCCTATATCCCAGCAGACCCCAGGTAAGTTGTCAAACTGTTCTTAAACGGTTTGACTACTTACTCTGGGATGGGATCCTGGCACTACTGGCACCATAACTACTACACTGAGCTGTAGTGGTTATTGTGTCTGGATTATTTTATTGTGCCCCTCCCGAGATCAGGCTCTGGATCCGCCACTGACTCCCCCTCCCACTGTGGTCCTTACTACCCCTCCCCCTGTGATCCTTACCCCCCCTCCAACTCCTGTAGTAGTCCTTACTCACCCCCTTCCCCTCCCCTAGTGGTCCTTACCCCCCCTCCCCTTGTGGTCCTTACCCAACCCCCTCCCCTAGTGGTCCTTACCTCCCATCCTCTAGTGGTCATCACCCCCCTCCCCTAGTGATCCTTACCACCCCCCCTCCCCTAGTGGTCCTTACCCCCCCTAGTGGTCCTTACCCTCCTCTTCCTTCCTGCCTATGTAGCGTTGCCGGGCGGCGTGGAACGCAGGACAGGAACTTCTGTGAGCACTTCCCTTCAGCACTTCCCATGCTACATTGAGAGACCGGCAGGAGGGAGCACTCTGCGATTCCCTCCTGCCGGTCACTCAAATCCAGCCGCCCTCCATACAGCAGTGCTGCGCCGCCTGAGGCTTGGCCTGACTGCCAAGCTGCAGCCAGCCCCACTGGACCACAGGGAAAAATCCTCTCTAACACTCCAAAAGGTAGGAGGCTGGGTGGATTGAAACTTAATTTTTTTTATTGTTTTCAATTGTGAGTGTTAGTGTGTGTCTGTTGGTGAGTGTATGTCTGTTAGTGTTTCTATTAGTCAGTATGTGTGTGTCTGTGAGTGTTAGTGTGTCTGTTAGTGAATGTGTCTGTTAGTGAGTGTTAGTGTGAGTCTGTTAGTGTGTGTGTTAGTGTTTGTCTGTTAGTGACTGTTATTGTGTCTGTTGGTGAGAGTGTGTGTGTCTGTGAGTTTTAGTGTGTCTGTTAGTGAGTGTTGGTGTGTCTGTTAGTGAGTGTGTTAGTGTGTGTCTGTTAGAGTGTGTATGTGTTAGTGAGTGTGTGTCTGTCACTGAGAGTCTATATGTGTCAGTGAGTGTGTATGTGTGTTTGTCAGTGAGAGTGTATGCGTGTTTGTCGGTGAGTGAGTATGTGTCTTTTGGTGAATGCGTATCTGTCAGTTAGTATATATGTGTGTCAGTCGGTGAATGTGAGTGTGTGTGTAACTGTGAATGTAACTGTGAATGAGTGAGTGTGTATGTCTGTGGATGTGTATGTTTCAGTGAAAGTGTGTGTTGGTTAAACAATGTGTGTGACAATGACTGTGTATTTGTGAGTGTATGTCAGTGCATGCATCAGTGAGGGCGTGTGTCTGTCAGGAAGAGAAATTTGGAAGGGGGTGGGAGGGTGCCTGAGTTTTGTTATGCCTAGGGCAGAACAAAACCAGAATACACCACTGGTTATTACCTAGATGTTTTGCAAGAAGATGTAGATCTAAGCCCTGTAACATTTGTTAGTAACAAAACAGTGCTCAATCATAAAGTCCGAGATGATCGGCATCTTGGATTTTATGATTGAGCATTGTTTTGTTACTAAGTGAAGTCAATTTACATTTTACTTTCACTTATATCTAGCAGAGAAAACAAGCCAACTGAATGCAACTGTGGCTAAGTTGTCTTTTCACTTGACCAGTGGTTTGAAACTCAGTTCTTAAAACCCACCACAGTCCAGGATTTATGTCTTTCCGGGAAATGCCAATGAGAAAACTGACAAAACCTGGACTGTCAGTGTGCTTTGAGAACTGGGCTGGGAACTACTGCCCTAGTGAGCTGGGATCAATGGCTTGTAGAAATAAATCCAAAATAACATAGGAATGGTGTTTTCAACTATGTTGTCCTTCATTTTTTAAGTTCAACAGATCCTTATTCTAAATTAGACAGAATGTGTCTAATTTTGCCTACAAGCAATTTCTTCATATCCACAAAGTGAGTTTCATATAAAAATGTTTGTGTGTGGGGGGAGGGGGTTGTTCTTTTTTATATGTTCATAGCTTTAACTAGATTCTGATGTCATTACATTATTACCTGATCAGTCCTTGTTCTCAGAACTACCATGATTACTCTTCTTTGCTCTGCGGTGACTATGGTTCTCAGTGACTTTGATTGTTCCATCAGCAAATGTTTCTCCAACCATATTAGATGCGTGGCATTGGTAAGTACCTTCATCTTCTTTTACCAAAGGGTTTATCTGGAAAAAATAATAATAATAAATAAATAAGTTGGTCGAGTGTCTGGAACTCCAAGTCGTACACTCGATCCCACGAACACTGGTCAACTTCACAAATGCCTGCTTCTTTTCAAAGACAGGCCCGGGGAGCACTGTTCGGTAGTTTTCTTCACACGAACCAGGGGATGTGTGGGGCTACCTATGAGCCAGGGGAACCATTTGTTGTTTTGTTCGGTTTGGAACTCCCGAAATTGACTAACCGCTGCCACTGAAACTTTGGAACTGTTTTGGGCAAGTGTCTCGTGAGCGGTCGGTCAAAACTTTACCCTGGTGGCGATTTGACTGTATTCATGGGATCTGAGCGCTATTTGGACAACTTGGGTGCTCAGATCCAAGCTATCTGTGGATATAATATTTATGGGGGTTCCTCTAAGTTTTATGTGTATTTTATATATATTTTTTATATTTTGTGTTTTATGCAGAGTCATTGTGACTCAGAAATTCATGGGCGTGTTGTGGGAGTTTTTGTGGACGTGTATACTGTATTCATGAATTGCATAAAAGACTTCCATCTGGCCTGAATAAAATTATTCCTGTTGTACCCTTCATCTAGTCTCGATTTTTGTTTGGGTATGTGACTGATGAACCACTGAATTTACTTTTATGCTTCACTGTGAATTTTCAGGAACGTACAAATCAGCGCTCCGGGCTGCGGGCTATAATCAATAAGTCCCTAGCACTTTGGGAGTATACAAATGAATGGGTTTATGAAATACCAGCATTTGTTAAATATACATATATACTTCATATAACAATATTCATTTTATCAACATCTTCCTTTTGGCAGACATAAATGTTTACTTGTGATTAAAGTTCAAGCTTAGAAATATCAATTCTGATTTTGATAATAAATTGAACAGCATGTTGTCAACAGAAAAATATAAATAGCTAAGTATCCACATCTATTGATTAATAAAAATAACACATCCAGTGGCACAACTATATTCTGTTTGTAGTAAATCAGTTTCAAGATTTCAAAATGTTACTTACAGATCAAGTGTAAATCAAAATCACAGTTACTTAAATGTGACTTCATTTGTCAATTGCATGTAAAGTTACATAGCCTAATGACAATACTATATGTAGCAAGGATGGAGATAATGATTTATTCAACAGATACAGGGAGTGCAGAATTATTAGGCAAATTAGTATTTTGACCACATCATCCTCTTTATGCATGTTGTCTTACTCCAAGCTGTATAGGCTCGAAAGCCTACTAACAGTTAAGCATATTAGGTGATGTGCATCTCTGTAATGAGAAGGGGTGTGGTCTAATGACATCAACACCCTATATCAGGTGTGCATAATTATTAGGCAACTTCCTTTCCTTTGGCAAAATGGGTCAAAAGAAGGACTTGACAGGCTCAGAAAAGTCAAAAATAGTGAGATATCTTGCAGAGGGATGCAGCACTCTTAAAATTGCAAAGCTTCTGAAGCGTGATCATCGAACAATCAAGCGTTTCATTCAAAATAGTCAACAGGGTCGCAAGAAGCGTGTGGAAAAACCAAGGCGCAAAATAACTGCCCATGAACTGAGAAAAGTCAAGCGTGCAGCTGCCACGATGCCACTTGCCACCAGTTTGGCCATATTTCAGAGCTGCAACATCACTGGAGTGCCCAAAAGCACAAGGTGTGCAATACTCAGAGACATGGCCAAGGTAAGAAAGGCTGAAAGACGACCACCACTGAACAAGACACACAAGCTGAAACGTCAAGACTGGGCCAAGAAATATCTCAAGACTGATTTTTCTAAGGTTTTATGGACTGATGAAATGAGAGTGAGTCTTGATGGGCCAGATGGATGGGCCCGTGGCTGGATTGGTAAAGGGCAGAGAGCTCCAGTCCGACTCAGACGCCAGCAAGGTGGAGGTGGAGTACTGGTTTGGGCTGGTATCATCAAAGATGAGCTTGTGGGGCCTTTTCGGGTTGAGGATGGAGTCAAGCTCAACTCCCAGTCCTACTGTCAGTTCCTGGAAGACACCTTCTTCAAGCAGTGGTACAGGAAGAAGTCTGCATCCTTCAAGAAAAACATGATTTTCATGCAGGACAATGCTCCATCACACGCGTCCAAGTACTCCACAGCGTGGCTGGCAAGAAAGGGTATAAAAGAAGAAAATCTAATGACATGGCCTCCTTGTTCACCTGATCTGAACCCCATTGAGAACCTGTGGTCCATCATCAAATGTTAGATTTACAAGGAGGGAAAACAGTACACCTCTCTGAACAGTGTCTGGGAGGCTGTGGTTGCTGCTGCACGCAATGTTGATGGTGAACAGATCAAAACACTGACAGAATCCATGGATGGCAGGCTTTTGAGTGTCCTTGCAAAGAAAGGTGGCTATATTGGTCACTGATTTGTTTTTGTTTTGTTTTTGAATGTCAGAAATGTATATTTGTGAATGTTGAGATGTTATATTGGTTTCACTGGTAATAATAAATAATTGAAATGGGTATATATTTGTTTTTTGTTAAGTTGCCTAATAATTATGCACAGTAATAGTCACCTGCACACACAGATATCCCCCTAACATAGCTATAACTAAAAACAAACTAAAAACTACTTCCAAAAATATTCAGCTTTGATATTAATGAGTTTTTTGGGTTCATTGAGAACATGGTTGTTGTTCAATAATAAAATTAATCCTCAAAAATACAACTTGCCTAATAATTCTGCACTCCCTGTATACTGAATTCACAAAAGAGTTTAATAATTTAGATCAAATGAGTTATATTGGAAATTGCCCATATCAACTGAGCTGGATATGTTTATTATTAACTTAGTAGTTCATGTTAACCCAATACATGCATCCTCCCAACACTATACGAAACCTACCCTTAACCATATGCTTACACTAACTCTAACCATAAACCTGCCCTAACCTTAAATCTACACTATCCCAATCCCTAATCCTAAAATTGTCTTAAAACAATCCTGAATTGTTTTTGGGACTTTGGTTGTTTATTTACCATACAGCACTGTGCAGTTAACTCCTTGGTGTTTTTTCTGCTTAGTATAACATAGAAACATAGAATGTGACGGCAGATAAGAACCATTCGGCCCATCTAGTCTGCACAATTTTCTAAATACTTTTCCCTGGCCTTATCTTATAGCTAGGATAGCCTTATGCCTATCCCACACATGCTTAAACTCCTTTACTGTGTAGATTTGCACATTGTATCTATGTAGTGATGAAAATATTTTATCATTGTATATGTCTTACTCTTCACAGAAAACACATGTCATGCTGTTATAAATGATACTGTTTCAAATATGTATAGACATTGGAAATTATGCAATAAAAACTGTTTGTAGTGTATGATTGATGTCTGTTGGAATTTGTAAGGTTTAAGTCAACTCACCAGCACCCAGCCAGTGCTTTCATGACGGCCAGGCCCACCACGGACTTGAACAGCTACATTGACTCTGTCTCCAGGCAGCTCCTCAGACATCTTTATTCCTTTTGGTGATTCTGTGACCTTCATATGAGAAAAATGTCATGGGATACTGCTAAAAATACAGCACATTTTGCACATTTCTAATGCATGTATTATGCGATTATGCCAGAAGTATACTTAAATTAACACTCTAAGCACCAAAACAACTTTAGCTTAAACAGCATTGTATAACTCATGCCCTGCAGGTTCTGCCATTTTTGAGTTAATTTACTTTTGTTTCTATTTATCCAGCCCTTCCCTGGCTGTGACACAGTCAACGTGAAAGAAAATGGTTTCAATTTTAATTAGATCTGTCATCACAGTGTGTTTTCTTTAGAAGTTTTAACTTCCTGCTCTCATTTTTGAATTTTAAATCACACTGAAGCCCCTGCTGTCTCTTGCAGGTAATCATCAGAGCAGGATATGAGATATTAAATACACTGGGCAATAAAGGAAGTTTAAAAATTAGATCTCTCTTTACATGAAGTGTTTAGGAAGGCTGTTTGTACAGGGAGGGTAGGTGTGGATAGGGCTGCATTAACAAAGTGATTTAACTTCAAAATGACGGAGAATTGAGCATTGAGACTGCAGGTGCTTTATCCATACACCAAAACAACTTAATTAAGCTAAAGTTATTTTGGCGCTTAGTGTGCCCCTTTAAAACATTACTCAAAGCACCATGACTACATAAGTGTTTCTGAAGTAGTCATGGAGCTTACAGTCTGTATGTGCAGTGCTGCAATATGAAACATTGCATATACAGATTTATTTGGGTTACCTTATGAAGGTGTAATGACGTATGGCATAGTCATTCATCAGCCATGAATGAAAGATATTTTTTTGTATGGACACTTATTTATTTGCTAAGATCACTTAGTTGTTGCCATCAGTCAGTGAATGAGCAGCAGGATCAGCATCTGCAGAAACCAATGCCTTTAAGCCACCATTGTGGGAGCTTCAGCACCAGGTAACAATTCCAGGTAAGAGGCAACCTACTGCAAAACAGTTTGCCCCATTACAGGAGAACAATGCCAGTGTACTCCTCACTTATTCACTACTATAGCAGGCTGTGATAGTAATGATGCTCTCAGTTCTAGTAGTTTGTCCACCACACACACAATTTGTTTCACTCTGTTCTCAGGAGCGAGATCTGACCTGCAGACCACAAATCATCTTTAAAGTAATTTTAAACAGTTTTTTTTTTTTTAAAGAGCAAAATTAAGTTTTTTTTAAACCATTTATACAGTTACATAGAGATATGCAATCAAATAGTTAACTTATCCCTGCACACAAATGTCACTTTTGTACCTTTCTCCAGGATATGCTAGGAGTTGGGACAGCCTTAACCTCACAAGACAGGTACACCTGGGCTCCTGTTACATTGTGAATCTTCCTGGGTGTGACAATAATCACAGGAGCTGGGGAAAGAGAAGGCACAGTGTTACAGAACCAATATAAAATATCAATAATAAACAAGTAAAAATCCCTGGGGCCCTGGTGCAAAAACTGATCCATTCCCTGGGGTCCAGTGGCTCAGGCTGATGGAAGTCAGAGTTCCCACTCTGACTCACTCCTCTCCTTCCTCCTGCGTGGTTCCTGGTGGTTGCTGGGAGGAAGTTACTTCTATCCAGCATCTGACATCATCCGAGGGGGCCCGGCCACGCTGTTAAAGCGCAGCACTGACCGGGCCTCCTGGAAATTAATTTCCATCGGGTGGCCCTAACAGCATGCTGTTAGGGCACCTGAAGGTCCCCTTTAATGCGGCCCCGGAGGTTACACAGCATGGGCCGGGCCTCAACACATGGTGACGGACACCCGGTCGCAGGGGTTTGCAGGGCAACCGGTCGCAGGGGTCCACAGGGCCCCATGGAGTGACGGGCCTGGTCATAGCTTCTAACCCCTGTATATATGCCATTGTACACACACACACATACATACAGACACATATATACAAACACACACACAGAGACACATATATACAGACACACACATACATACAGACAGACACATATATACAAACACACACACAGACACATATATACAGACACACATATATACATACAGACACATGTATGCAGACACACACACATACATACAAACACACACACACACATACACACACACACACAGACAGATCTTCCCAGCTGTAATGTCATCAAAGGGGGCCCGGTTGCGCTGTTAAATCTATAACCATACAACACATGCATACAAACACACACACACACACACATACACACACACACAGACAGACACACATACAGACACACATACAGAGAAACATTCATACAAACACACACATATACAAAATATTTTAGTCACCCTTCTGTTTCCTAGCTTTTAGATGCAGTAGGGTGACTTCCCTGGGGTCCAGTGGTGGCTCAGCCTAATAGGAGTCAGAGTTCCCACTCTGACTCCCTTCTCTCTTCTTCCCACATAGCACCCATTGTAAGCTGGGAGGAGTGATGGGGCAGTCACTTCCTCCCAGCTGTAATGTCATCAAAGGAGGCCCGGTTGTGCTGTTAAATCTATAACCATCGGTTGGCTCTAACAGCATGGGCCAGCCGATGGGCCCCTTAACATGCGACCCCAGTGGTTATACTGTGCAGGCCGGGGCCGTAACACATGACGGTGGGCATCCGGTCGCAGGGATCCACAGGGCGGCCGTCCCCCTGGAGTGACGGCCACAGCTGCGATCCCTGCAACCGCGGTATGTATGCCACTACTTTTAACAACCACCTTTTGTGAATTCTGACTGTACCTCTAGTAGTATTTATAAAAAAAAAAATCTAAAATGCATTAACAAATAGCTTATATCTATAAAAGGATTAAAAACAACCACATTTCCAGTGCACTGAGGTTCCTTACTGTCACCTCATAAAATTCATCATATGGATATTGTAATTTATACACTAGAGATGTGTTTAAAGTCAATCCAATTGTCACTTTGATGGCCAACAGTCTCCCACCATGAGCTATTTAATGATGAGAGAGGATTATTCATTTTGAGTTCTGCACAATAATCAGTCTATGCTAGACTCGGGCCTCCTGCCGCCACTTCGACAGCTGTCAGAGGTCACTTCATCTCCTTAAATACATCAGAAGTAAAGAGGAGCCATCTGTTAGAAGACATGCCTTCTGTAAATTTACCATTGGAACATGTATATCTGCATGTGTAACTGACTAATTGACTGTGCTGGAAGATAAACACAGCTCACTCAAAATCCTCAAATTGTTCCCTTTGGGCTTTTACATTAATAGCTGCCAAGTGCCGTCTGTGGCCTTTTGTTGTCTCAGTGATGGGTTTTAAAATTACTCCTCTAGCCATGTGCTTCTTAGAAACAATAAAATCTAAAGAAAATAAGATTTGAGGGAACAAAAAGAATATAGATAGATAGATAGAGAGATAGAGAGATAGATAGATAGAGAGATAGATAGATAGATAGATAACAGACAGACACGGATACATTTATCCCAAATCACTATGCACATTTTTATAACTGGAGGTTTTTTAATATCACACCAATGGCCATTTAAATGTAAACTTGCCTGCCACGTCAAGGCAGAACCTCTTAGGTGAGTCCTACACTAACAATTCACTTTAATGTCTTCAGCCAATACGTTAAATCTCTAATGGAGGTAGGACAGAGAGGGGTATTTCCTAAACCCTTACATGCTTATTAACCCTTAACATGGCTGTGTAATACAAAAACAAATACAAACATACAAAACTGAGCCTTGTCACTACACCTGGGCGGCAACAATAACTATAGTACACATCAGCCCCAATACAACAGTGAAAAACATAGAAAAATGTTACTTGTGTACTATCCCAAATCCCTTTGCACATTTAAATAACTGGAGGATTTTTTAGTATCAGTCCAATGGCCATTACGTGTAAGCTCACCGTCCACCTGCCTCTCTGTCTCATCAGAGACAGAGACTGGCTGAAGACAGCAAGGTGAATTGCTAGTGCTGGACACACTTAAGAGGTTTTGCCTTTTGACAGTTGAGCTCCCAAGATGAAATACATTAGGCTTACTATGTCTCACACCCTATGTAAAATATATATGTATATATCCAAATCGATTACAGTGGGGAAAAAATTGTGATTGAAAATCCCTTCCACCTTCAAGTCTGTGGATAGTTATTACAATGTTAAACAAAAATCTGCACACCAGTCAAGCCATAAGACTTGTATACAGCAAACACAGACTCAAAGGAATCCATGTTTAAAATGGAATGAGGCAAACATATGATTCTTTGTTGGACTGATTTGCATATGCCTACCCAGAATCCTTTGCGGCTTATGGATTGACTGGTGTGCAGATTTTGACTGGTGTGCAGCTTACTGCACAGAACCCTCAGACTCTGGTAGAGGACCCGAGAATTAGAAATAAAATATACAAACCAGAAGGGGGGACAAAATCAATTTTATATAATAGAGAAGGTGCCATTGTAAGAACTTTACCACCAATACACTAAACTACATGTCTAATGTATTGTCTATTATGTGAATTGCAATTCCATACATGGGATATTCACCTATATATGATGTATTAATTGTTTATTTTCTACTTATAATAAAGGTGCGCTTTCAACAGATTCTTCTTGTTTCACTTCAATGTGCACGACATCTCCTCTTGTCTTTTATAATATATAGTTGTTTGCTGTCTGATGCCCCGTCTTTTTTTATTTTGGGTTGCTTTCATTGTTTTAATCATAATCAATGAATATTTTTTTACTGGCTTAAATGCCATTGAGTTATTTATTTACTCAAATATTTTGTTTTATTCTAACTTACGCAGTTGTGTTTTATTTGATCTAAGCTGTAAATTGACCTTTTTGTTTCACACCATTTCCCCTTTTGGTTTCGTATCCCCTTTTGGTTTCGTACATTGAACAAAGGTTGCTATTTATCCTTCTTTAGAGGCCACTATTGATATAATCAGTGGTGTTACAAACCACAAATACATCTCCATGAGTTTTACTTTATTTTATAAAGCCTGTTATACTATTTCTGTTTATATTTACTGTATTGCACCTCGAGGTGTTTCCCTTAGGAACTATTATTACATGAATGCACGTAAGAGTTTATCCTAACAAATACTAACGGATTCCAATTAATATTAGTTTTTTTCATTGCACACTGTGGGAATTATATTTCAATTAGCATTTTATGTAGCTAATTTCTTTCTCATTTTACTCCCTAGTGTTCAGCTTTAATTGCCATTACACAAGCAGGGTCACCCGGGTTACAGGCCGTACAAACAAGCTTTTTGTTATGCACCTCATGGACTGAATGTTATTTATTTCCAACAAAATAAATAAATAAAAGAGGTTCACAGAGGAAGCTTTCTTGAGCATGAAAGCAGGATAATCCCTATTACTATTAGTAGCAAATCCACAAATTTCTAATGCAGCTCTGTAATCGTATAGTATCATAAGCATTTATATATAGGGTACTTACAGGGAAACAAAACACTGAGATTTTTCACATTTCAAAAGTTATCCAATGGATCAGTATGTGTTATGCTTTATTCGTTTGTTTGCTTGCTTGCTTGTTATTGCATTTTTTTCACAATACTGTTAGTAATGCTCTGGGTGTGTTTTATTACATCATGTTCAAAGCTGGCAAGGCACAACCTGGCATTCAATTCCATTTCATGCCATCATAAATTATATGTGCTATCTAAATACTACAATGCCATGTCGAAGCAAATTGAGGCATAAATACAGAAATGGACACAAATGTAATGTATCCAGGCGAAAGACTGGTTGTTAGGTTACAAGTAACGTGCAGTGTAACATTATACAAAAAAATATGTAGTTAGAGAGAAAAAAGGGAATAAGATTAATGAAGACAAACGGAAGGTAATATCAGGTTGGAGTACTCTAAAGAGAAATATTAATTCACATGTCTTCTTAAAGAAGATGTTTTGTAGGTTTTTTTAAAATTCAGGAATACAAGGGAATACATAATGACAAAGCATGAGAATGTTCTACCCAAGAGAAGAACTTTAGGATTGAGTTGGTGAAGCGAGTGTGAAAGGACAGTTGCTGGTGATTGGCAGAAAATAGAATGTAGTTGCTGCTTAGCGAGGGTGAGTAAATATAGGATAGGGTGCACTGGGGAGAGCCCTAAAAAAACATTTATTCGAATGAAAAAATATTAAATGAACCTCCACTAATTAAGAGGAAGACAAAATCATGTCTTTCTCTCTTTCCCCATATCAACACCAACTGGTCACATCTATTTCCTGAAATAAACGCTAATCAGTTGGGGTTTTGTTGCATTGACTGGTGTTAATGGTGCCAAATTTAGACTTCCAAGAAAAGTGCTTTTGGGAATGTTCAAAATTTTGCCTGAGAATACTAAACATAAAAATCCTCACCTGCTGTTGAAGACTGGGCATTTCCAGAGTACTGAATTGTAAGGTATAGAGGAGCTCATTGCATATGCCATGGAAATATTTTATCTATTCTCTTAATTGCAACCCCAAAGATCAGGATAAATATCTAGAGGGGAAAACTTTTATTTAGTCTTTGATAACACTTTACACAACTAAAAAAGTAATTAAGATTATAAGTGATGTATTTTAAGTACACCAATAAATGTAGACACATATTTAAATGTATAATCAGAAAAAAATATAACCTGCGCCTATAACTTATAAATCTGTAGGTTGAATCACACACATTAAAAAGTATATACATACATATATAAAACAGGGTCTTGTTGGCTGATGAATCTCTCAAAAAAGACAAAAAGGAGAGAACAGACAATATAAGTGCAATATGTTTTTTAAGAGATATGGAGTGGTGTTTTGTAACAAAAGCACACTCACACTTTCGAGAGCTATTTAGAGCTCTGCTGTTATAGACGTGGACGGTATAACCCCCATCTAAGGATGTATGTTCAGCAGTGGTGATGTTTTTTTCTTAGTAAAGTGCAGTATGTGGAGACATTAACAGGAACATCCAATAGTGTGATATGTACTGCACAAGGCTATACAATAGTGGTAGGTATTTTACTCATACTTTTAACATAATGAACCTGCTCTAGTATAGTGTAGTGTTGGTGGTATAATCCCAACCAATATGCAGGACCAGAAGCGTAGTAAAAAGCCAAAAGGGTGCAAAGTAACTTCCAAATAAATTCAAAGTAATATAAATTTACAGGGATAAACTTTATTCCAAAATAAATAAACAAACATGAAGAATATAACATAAAACGTAATCCAATGTGGGTTAAAAACACACTTAACGGGTTTCACAATGGGGTTTCATCAGAAGTGGTGAAACGTGTTAAATGTGTTTTTAACCCACATTGGATTACATAATGCACTTATATTGTCTGTTCTCTCCTTTTTGTCATTTTGATTCATTAACCAACAAGACCCTGTTTTAAATATGTATGTTTATACTTTTTTATGTGTGTGATTCTACTTAAAGATTTATAGGTTATAGGCGCGGGTTATCAATTTTTCTGTTTTTGGCTATTTTGTATTGTCACAAGGTTGGGGATAACTTGTGTGATAATCTGCAGCCCCTACCCATTCCTTAAGTACATAGCGAGCACCTATAATTTGTATCTGTTTACCTCTAATCAGTTTTAAGGCTTTTTTGTGATTGATTCATACAAACCGCACTAAATGTGAATTTTATTTCCGTGTAGCTCATTTATACATTCACATACACTTTACACTGCAAGTTATTGCTGTTGAGTTCTGTGGCATACACAGGAAACATTCTGGCCACGTAATAAAAAGGCACACTAGTATAGAATAGAAGGAATGAGGAATTTAGATCCCAAATAGAGAGCGATCACCATAGCAAGGAACATTTGGGGGATATAAGATGAATCTTTAGTCACCAAGACATCCAAATAAAAAAGAGATGTTTATGTTTTGCTCTCCTTGAAAACAAACTATACATGATTACAATTGAAGTGGAAATATTTGTCAAGTCTACATTTAGGTTCTCCAGTAGCCACTGACAGTTGACATAGTAAATACTTCTATAGACTATAATCCCCTGTGCCAGCCTCGGTAAAGTACTATTTTATTATTATGTAGAATTAGATTTTCCCCTTTTCATGATTGGAATGTAAAACTGCTTTTTTATTTCAGTTCAGCCCGTTAGAAGACAGCCTTTTAAACCCATGCTATTCATACTTGCAAGTTAAATGGATCATTCAAAATAGACAACTGCAAAGTACAGTTTATCAGAGGATCAGCATGGGTTTAATGTTTTGTAAGAAATTATTCACCCATATGGAGGTGAACAATGATTTCTAGACAGACAAGTCATGCACAGCAGTTTCAGCCTTAGCACCGGATTTAAACAGCTGTAAACGCCATCTCCCGTTTCTCTCATAGTGGGTTTTCCAGCACTACATCCCATATTCATTTTTGCCACAATATTTTGGTTTATTCTTCTATCCATTAGACATAGAGTTAGAAAAACACATAATTGGAGAAATATTGATAATTAGAAAACGCCATCTGAGCTATAGAGCTGTATAGCAAGAAAAAATTCAACAATTCAAGATCGAAATGCTTAAAAAGACACCCCAGACACCATAACTGCTACAGCACACTGTAGTGGTTATGGTGCTAGGACTGCCTTTATCCATCCCATTGGAAAGGAATCAAACCATTTTACCCTACCTCCACTACTTCATATTGAGAGCAAGTAGCTCTCTATCTAAGCTGAGAATGGTGGTGGAGAGCATAGCTCATTGGCTGGGAGCAATCATCTAACAATCTCAGCCAATTAGCTAGCCTTGCATTACTGCGGCCGGGGGAAGGGGGCAGGTAAGGGTGAGATTTACTTACCTGATGCGTGAGAGTATAGCATTTCGGTCTATGGAAGATCCTGCCACACCACAGAATCCTCCATAGACACAGCCAATTATCTGCAGCCGGCTGGTGATGGCTGTCATGACTGACAATTAGACTCAAATCTGAGTTAAGAAACTCAGGCAGAGGAGAGATACAGAGACAAAGTAGTCCCTAATTTGTCTCAGTATATCTCTTGACTGGGTTGGAATCTCAGTGAAATTCCAACACCGCCAACATGAGTATTTCATACTCTCTATCTTTATGAAACACTCATTATTCATGGGGTGACAGTGCTGCTTTAAAAAATTGACCTTCAGAATAAACAGAGGGGAACCATATAAACTGGTGTGTTTCATGCATTTGCACTTTTTGAAAAAGGTATACTTGGCTGTTACATTGCTCATTGAGACAGAACTGAGCCACTAGTGTGTATGCTTATATTTTATGATATATAAAGGAAGACAGGCTTTCATGCAGAGGATCAGGGCAACTTACTGTGCTATAGTGCCTTAACAAAGAATCCTTGTGTGTGCCTCTTCGGGGAACTCCATTCCTGTCCAGCTTGGCGTGTACTAACCACTCGAGGAGACTCACACTCTTCCTGCTCAAACACAAGCTGAAAATAGTTCCGCCTTATGTGTTTCAATGCGCTATGGTCCACTTCATCAGAGGCCCCTTAAGATCACACCAAACCCGAGAGACGGCATCTGGAAGGGGTGTAAGCTTCTACTGACATCAAAGTAAGTGGCGTTGCCTGCCATTTATTTATTTTTTACTTAAATTGAGCTGCTTAGACTTCTTTTCTATCAGTGACTGGATTCTTATACTTTGCTTTTGTCGCACTAAACAGAGACTATTGCCCTGTAAGGAAGGATTTTTACAACATGCTGTGGGGAATTACACCGGTGGACCTTTCGTCCAGGTATGTAGAAGCAGGCGTGGAACTCAGGCATCTGCCCACTCCTCCACTTCCACGGTACCTTAAAGGGATATCCAGGCAGGTCTCACCCTGCAGCGCCTATCTGTAGTCCAGAGCCATGAGGTCTTGACGTGATGCAAGGAAGCAGTGGCGTACATACCGCGGTCGCAGGGGTCGCACCAGGTGCCCGCTAGGGCCACACATTCAAGGGGCCCATCGGGTGGTCCATGCTGTTAGATGAATTTCCAGGGGGCCCCGGTCAGCGCTGCGGTGCTTTAACAGCACGACTGGGCCCCCTGTGATGACATCACAACTGGGAGGAAGTGACTGCCCCGGTCACTCCTCCCAGCTATCAGACAGAGTCTCGCGGGAGGAAGAAGAGTGAGTCAGAGTGGGAACTCTGACTGCCACCAGCCTGAGCCACCACTGGACCACAGGTAAAGTCACCCTCCTGCATCTAAAAGGTAGGAAACAGGATGGTGACTTAAATTTTGTATATGTGTGTTTTTGTTTGTATGTATGTGTGTCTGTGTCTGTATGTATGTGTCTGTGTGTGTGTATGTGTGTTTGTCTGTGTGTGTGTTTCTCTATGTATATATGTGTATGTATGTGTGTGTCTCTATGTATGTATGTGTGTATGTGTCTCTGTGTGTGTGTGTGTGTGTATCGTGGGAAGGGGGCCCATGGATTGTGTGTACGCCACTGCGAGGAAGCATGTGCAGGATCTCCAAGATTCTTGCACACACCTTATTAGCCACTATCTCAAGCACATACCTAATTAAGCTGTCAGGCCCTGCACATAAGCAGGGTTTTTTGGGGTTTTTTTTTTACCCATGCAGTGACATTCTGTGTCTAAGACGACCCCCAATTTTAGACTAAAAAAAGTATACATGGAAAAGTACGGTACATTGTTTATGACAACTACTACAATTATAAAGTGCACTTAGTGGACTATTTTAACTACCTGCTGCTGCATTTGTGGTTTTATGTTGTTTCTTATTTTCCACAGAGATATTGTGCTTTTTTATCAATTGTATGGAGACTTCCTTAGTGTTTTTAAGATTTTAGGCACATTTATTTTGTTTTGTGATATTGTGCATTTTTTAATTTAATTTTATTTTTATCTTTATATTTGAATACACTCTATATTGTTTACACTTAAGCAGTCACATACTTCACATTATTGTCTTGCTTCATATTATTGCTTTGTAATCTTTTTTTTTTTTTTTACTTTCTCTCTCTTCCTAAATATATGCTCCTGGTATTATACAGTTTTTATTCTGTTCTGTTTCACTTAATGGTCTTTGATATTTTATTTCTATAATGGGCATCTTATATTTCCAATTACTCAAAAAAAAAACACACATATATAAAATATAAATGATGATTGTGACTGCATGCCCAATTCTCTCAAAACGTAAGAAGATATATAACAAAGAGCACCTTGGTAAAATTGAGATACTTCATAAAATTGTATTACTTATGCAGAATGATGACCCAATATATAATACTAAGAGACAGTAGATTTGCTCATTCAGCTAATCAATCAAATCTCTAAGCTTAAACAAAAATACACTCTATCATCTCAAAGCAAAATGTTATACTATGATGAACAAAGTGCAGATTTACAGCGTATACATATTTATTTAATTTATTCAACTCATTAGGTTAAATTAATCTTTCAGAAAACAAAATTAAACAGGGAGTATTCACAATAAAAAAAAGTAAAATGCAGCCAGGTGCAAGTGTGTCGTGTTTGCAAAGCAACCGTGCCCAGGACTGTCATGTTGAATTGCAAATCAAAGAGACAGACACTCGCTATTCAAAGCTGGATCAGTTGATGAATAATGGAACTTGGTTTGTATAGTGGCAAAACCAGACCAAAGCTTTCTTTAATCCCCTTATGATCTTAGTCAGCTTTAGGACTAAAATGGGTGTGAAAATCACTGGTATGGGATGGAGAACATAAATATTCATCAGGAGTAATGCAATCTGAAGAAAACATGGTCTATTAGCACACTAGATCATTGAGACTCATGGTCCCAGAGGAGACATGTCGAAAAGAAAATAATTGGTAGTGTGCCTAAATTAGCTACATTGTGGGTCCTTCACATCATCGCATGAGAAGTGAAAAGAAACCAAAACTATCTTAAAATAGAATTAGGAAGCCTACATACTGACAACACAAACAAAGCTAGCTGATCTTATTGTGTTTAAATGGGCACTCTAAGCACTGTAGCCACAACAGCGTATGGGTCCAAATTTGGCCAATTTGGTGAATGCCTGGTAGACTGCATTGGTCAGGAGCTGAAGTGACTGGGGTGATAAAAGGCTCTCCCCTGCTGGCCCTTGCAGGGCGGGCACTAGCCAAGCACTGTCCTTGCTCTGTGCCATCACAGGCTGGTGGGGATAAAAAAAGATCTCCGTCACTGGCACAGTTCACCATTCAGCAGGAGGGGGGAGGATCCAGGATACTTTCAGTCTGCACCTCCGCCAGATGCAGACTAAAAGAATTGCTCCTGCTGTAAAGAAAGTTTTTTCTTTTTACCATGGCAATGCTCTGATACATAATGGTATCAAGAAGTACTTAGAGCAGAGCTTTCTAAATTTTTATGTTGGTGACACACTTTTCAGATATTTATCATTTCGGTAGAATCAGCAGTTTCGACTCGATTCCCCATCCTGCGCATGATCAGCATTTATGTATGATCCTTGACCGTCTCTTTAACACTCTGCTCCAATTCACAATATAGAAATATAACATACCCAGCCCAAGTTGGCTCATCTTACCTTATTTACTGTTGCTGGCTTCTACTTCTGGCAGGCTGGCTTTTTTGGCTGCTGTGGCTGGCAGACTGGTGTGGTTGTCTGGCAAGCCTCTTTCTTCCCCCAGGCCCTTTATGCATCTGGTTCTCCCTCAACCTCTTTGAGTCTCTTTTTTCCCATCCCCTTTGTGTGTCTCTTCCCACCAACCCTTCTGTCTCTTTGCCCCCCCCCCCCAAACACTCTGTGTGTCTCTTTGTCCCCCGTCAGCCACCCTGTATTTCTTTGTCCCCCAGCACCTCTGGGTGTCTCTTTGTGCCCCCTCCTCTCTGGTGCCCTTCTTCTGCCAACCCTGCCCTAACTGTGCCCTTTTTTGTCTTCCCACTCTCCTGCTCCTTTCTTTTGTTCCCCTCCCCTCCTGTGCCCTTCTTTTGTCTCTCCTAACCACCTGTGCCCTTCTTTTGTCCCTCTAGCCTCCTGTTCCCTTCTTTAGTTCCCCATCCCCTTCTTTCCCCTTCTTTTGTCCCCCTTACACTCCTGTGCCCTTCCTTCAATCCCATACCCTCCTGTGCCCTTTGTCTTTCCCTCTCCCTTCCTGTGCCCTTCTACTGCCCCCTCTACATTCCTGTGTCATTCTTTGTCACTCCCCTATGCCTGCTCAGCCTCACCTTAGTGCATGCTGCGTGGCAGAGCAGGTGGAACGCTATAGAGGAGCTTCTGTTCCTCTACCCGGTCTGACAGGAAGCAGTTCTGTGCTCTCAGGTCCACCTACTCGGCCACGCTACATGGAATGACCGTCAGAAGGGGAGTGCTGTGGAATGTGCTCCCCTTCCTGTTGGACAACTAAGTGCAACACACTCTTGCGCAACACAGTTTGTAAAGCTGTGACTTAGAGTGTACTTAGCCTGCATGCGTTGGGAGATGCAGTCATTCACTACTAGACTACCACTTACACACACACACTAGGCCCCCAATACAAACTACACCCCTTTGGCCACACATACTACACCATAAACACAATACAACCAAAACCAACCTATATACACAAAACACTAGCTCACTCCACACACACACAATCACACAAGAGCCTCCAAATGCATGCACAATACTCTCTCCTGGCCCTCTTCTTCTCTGGTTCCCCACTTATGAAGAAACCAGAGACAAGTCACCAGCAAACAAAGCCCAGGTGTGTCATTAAATTTGCTTGCGCTGTTCAGAACAAGCACAGGGCCTGTGTACTATGCGAGCAATCTTCAACAGGGATCTGCACATTGACTAACCCTGGAAGAGCATTAAGTAAACATGCTCACTCTGACTATACTCCCTAGCACTGGGCCAAAACTTTTCCCAGTGCTGCCCTACTGCCCATTGTAATGATTATGAGGCAAAGATTCTGTGCCAAGGTCAACAAGGCAGCATGACCTTTGCATGTGTCTAAAACTTCCAATTTCTCCCTTCTTTGTCTATAACCCAGACACTAGGTAAAGATTGTATCACTAGTGCTGCCTTACTACTTTTGTTCTACAATATTTGTAACACTGGCTAGCTTATACATTTTTGACTAGTCAATTTGCAGACTTTCCAACATGCGAAAGCTCATTTCAGGGAGGTGGCTTCACCAGCAACTGCACACCCCGTGTGCACACCCCTACACATGCACATACGTGTACATACACACAAAATGCATCCCCCAGAATGCACCCCCACACATGCACACACACCCCAAAACGCACACAGCCACAAAACATGTATGAACAATGACATGATATTTTATTATGATAGAACATAACTATTTACACACGCTATTAACACACGGAGTCATGCAGACACCTTGACACACAGATGCAGACACCTTGACACACAAATATGGACACTGACACACATAAACAGATACACACTGGCACATACACACACTTACACATATACACAGATACATTCTGGCACATATACACAGATACACACTGGCACATATACACACTCACTCAGATACACTCATACACACAGATACACAGACTGGTATATACACACTACGATACACTCACTGGCACATACACACACTTAGATACGTACAGATACACACACTGGCACATACACACTCACTCAGATACACATTGACACACAGATACACACATGTGCACATATACACAAACACTCAGATACACACTGACATCACACACTCAAATACACACAGATGTACACACTAAGATACACTCACTGGTACATACACACACTTCGATACATACAGATACACACTGGCACACACTAACTCAGATACAGTGAGTGAGTGTGTGCAAGTGTGTGTATCTGTATGTATCTAAGTGTGTGTATGTACACACTGACACACAGATACACATACACACACAAGGCAAAATTATTTATTCTGCAGCCACCCTTAGCTTACCTTGTGTCCTGGCTGAGGCTGATGGGAGTGAGCATGTAGCTGCTCACTCCAACCTCTCCTTACCTCCATGTTGCCTGTGTACTCCAGCACCGGACCGGGCCCCTGCTCAGAAGTAACATTCATCAGGTGGGTAATCTTAATATATGCTAAATGCCCTTAATTTATTGAGGGCATTTAGCATATATAATAGCCTGGAAATCACACACAATCTGATATATACAGTATATCAGATTGTCTGTGATTTCCGGGATATTGTATGAGACATAAGGGCATTGAGTAATGCTTTCCCATGGGCGGTTTGAATGCGCGCGTGGCAGATCGGGGCGGAAGGATCCCCAGCGCCAAGGGAGTCCGGTGATGGAGAAAGGTAAGTTCTGAAGGGGTTTTAAACACACACACTCTCACGAACAGATGCATACACACTAGCTAACAGACACACACATTTACTGACAGAGACATACTCAATTACAGACATACATACACACTCACTGACAGACAGACACACATACACACTCACTTACAAAACATACACTCTCACTGACAAACACACACTCACTAACAGACACCAAACAGACTCACTAACAAACACACACTAACAGACACACACAAACTAACACTCAGTAACACACACTCACTGACACAAAAACTAACACACATACTGACACTCACTAGTAGACACACTCAATAGCAGACACACACTCAATAACAGACACACACAGTAACACACACACAAAAACTAACACACTGAAACTCACTAGCAGACACACACAGTAACACACACACTGACACACAAAAACTAACACACACACAGTCTAACACTAACACACACACACAGTATAACACACACTCTAACACTAACACACACACACATGTTTCTTTAAAATTTAAAACTTACCTTTGGGAGAGCTGAGGGGATTCCCTCGGGTCCAGTGGTGCTGCTGGGCGGCCGGTCACCAGGCTGGCTGGCTGACGCGCGTGCGAGGGAGCACTCTCCCCTGAGCGCTCTCTGCCCAGCTCACTCGCGCACCGCGTACTGATGCCGGAGCCAGAATGACGTCATATTCTGGCTCCAGCATCACTGCGGTGTGCGAGGGAGCTGGGCAGCCCCCCAGCCAGCCAGCCCAGTGACACCAGGGCCAGCCTCAGGTGGCCCTGATGTGGCCAACTCCTGGGCACCCCAGGAGAAGAGGCTGGCCACACTGGCATACATATCGGGTCGCAGGGCGACCGCGGTATGTTCGCCAGTGTTTTAGGGGGTACTTGTGTTCTGTTAGCACTTCTCCACTACCTTACTAATTCTTCACAACCAGATTTTGCCTTCATCCCAGTATTTACCAGCTCTGGTCATAGATGAAAAACTATACAATATTAATGACAATCAGGCATAGTCTGTAACTTTGTTCTTAGTTTTAACTGATAAGATTACCATTTCATCTCTAAAGGAAGTGACACAATACGCATTAATCCAAATGATAGTGTACACTGCTGGTGATGTATTGTATGTCTAGTGGGAGGAGAACCCACCTGTCTGCAATCTCACATGGAAGGATAATTTGTTTTATATAATTTATAACTCTCTGCCAATGCACTGTTCAAGTTTGTATTTTACCATTTAATTGTTGCCTTTTACCCTCTCACCACTAGGCTTTATATTTAAAATGTATTACTTGGGCTATTTGGCACTGTCCATTAAACATCACTGAATAGAATATATACGTGTTATATGTGTTTGATACATGTTATCACTTGTCTCTTTAGTTCTCTTTTGTTTTTTTGTTTGTATTATATTTACAGAAAAATACAATTTATAATAAAGAATTTAATAAAAAATTTAAATAAAATAAAAATCTGTTTTGAAGTGTTTTTTTCAAGGAACACGGTGCTTTTGGTGGTAATGATACGCTAAGAAGCCTGGGATAACCTGTACCAACAACCTAATTCTATCGTTGTGATTCAACGTTGAACTGGCAAATACAGAATTTACTTCCACATTAACTGTGCAGAACAAATGGGCTGGGCTGTAAGAGATGGGAATGCTATCATTTTTCTATCTACCTGGATTTATAATTGTTATGAATATACAGAAATTGAGGCACTTAAATAATTTTTATTTTTTTTGCATTTAAGTGCCCTGAGACAAAGCATAAGATTGGCATTATCAGACTGTTTGTTCCATAACCACTTCAACAATCTGTTCCTTTTTAAAATAACACATTTCCCTAATGGACTGTATGTTTGAAACCACTTTTTCTTTTATAGGAAAAGCTAATAATAATTTAGGTTTATGTTAATTTACCTACATCATTTTGAATTTCAAAAAAGTAAAAAAAGAAATATATTAGGGCCTTACTACTTTCAAGTTTTATAGTTTACATATGTATTTACCTTCAGATTAAAGTTTGCAGCCAGCTAGGACTTCTTGGTAAATATATCGTTTTAATGCAATTTTATGCAATTGAACAAAATGATAAAAGTAATATTACTGTCCAAATATGGGCAGAGTGCATTGTAAATGATTCTACTGTACAATGCTACTGAATTCCAAACTACATGCCAACCATTGATTATTTTACAATAATAACTTCACCAAGAAAATGATCATGTGTACAATCAAATTTGATTGCCAAACAAATAAGATTTGTTGGCCAAGCTTATACATATTCTAAATTTAGATGCAATGATATTTAGCCTCTAGTTTTGTATTTGTAAGCTAGAATTTTGAAATGCAGTTGACTTTGATCACAGCATTATGTGTAGTACTTTATTTAATTAGCTAATATTCATGTTGGGAATAATACACTGGGAATGTGGAGTTAGCCGGAGAGAGAGGAAGTGTTAGCTGACCCAGGGATGGATGTACTATGTGTGTCTTTGATATATGTTGAGTGTGCCAAGGATGGATTCCCATGTGTGAGGATATGACTGGTTTTGACTGGACCTTTGGAATAGGGAAATGGTTAAAAGATATAGGACGCAAGGTCCTGGTTGCGATTATTGTCAGAATTGCAGGCTAGATTTTAATTTATCTCATGATTTAATATGTAAGTGGGCCTTTTCAAAAATCAAGAAGTGTTTCCCAATTCCTCCCGATACCCGAGCTATGTACTTACAGGTGCGAGTAAAATACGTCACAAGTGGTGTCAACTGTGAGGGGGTGACATGTCTACACGATGTGGCCCACATTCAGGGTTTCCCCAGATGTGCTTTTTCCTCACATATGAGTTTTTGCCACTGGGTTTTTTGACCTGGCCCCAGATCATCGGGTGGACTGGTAATCCTCGACACTAGTCCATGGACGGGGGATAGGTATTATTCCCACTTTGACTATTTGCGTTCCATTTCGTGGACGAAGGAGGGAACTGTTGGGAATAATACACTTTGCCTATATTTACCCAGGGCTTAAGATACAGATGACCGGCTGGCCAGTCTGTTTAAAATTGGTTAACATGTCAGCTATTTGCAATAATGTATTTTATCCAATGCTTAGTGAATATACTCTAGGCAATTAAGAGCTGTATAATATCATGTAACAAGTAATAGGTGTTAAGAGCTGTAGAACATCATGTAACAAGAAATAGGTGTTATATCCTGTATTCTTCTGTCTGTCGGCCTTATTTCCTGTTTTTCTCCCTTTGATCATAACTGTATAGTGATATGATTTTATAACTGAGTAGTAAATATCTTTAGTTCTTAGTGCGCATGCATATGACTTTGGAGTACGTGGTTATAGTGAAATTTAGCTTTGTGCAAGGTCCGAACATGAAGATACACCTGCAAGCTTGCTATAAGTTAAGATGTTAAGATAAGATAGATGATTTTATTAAGATTGGATAATGCTTGTAACAACCACCCCTGTTTCCTTCTGTATAAAACCTGTTACACGGCTCATTAAAAGCTCAGAAGTCACTTTGAATCTTACTTTGTCTTATCTCGTTCATTGGGGCATCTAACCATATGGTTTGGGGACAAGGAGGAATACAGAGAGTTACAAATTGATACAAAAGGCCATGGCAAGGGAGAAGGCCTGACAGAGAAAATTCCTCACTATCAATTCATTACCACTACCTGCCTCTCAACACTATGGCTGTCTCAACTGGAAGACCACTGACTTCTTAAAAGGACAGTTTAATGGAAAAAAAATTGAAAACATGGCTGCATTTAATCATGCATTTATTTTTTAATTGGGCTATATATACAAATTGCTTGCAAAAACTGCAGATCTCGTGTTTGCAGCCTTTGCAAGCTATCATACCTAAATAGAGTCATACTGGTCTATTTTTAAGGGTCTGACACATCAATCCCTTCTTCTCCAGCCCAGATTTCCTGTGGCTGCCCCATCAGACGTCCAAATGGAGATCAATGAGAAGACTTTGCAAGGCAGAAGCTCTGATTAACCTCTTAATGATGAAGAAAAAAACGTTCTGAACCAAAACAATACCTAGAATTTGAGCTATATGTCTGTTCAACCAAAATGTATCTCTTTCGTATTAAGTGTACCCACACTTATTATATATCATCTTGTTCAGGAGAAATAGAGTTTTTATTTCACATCAAATATTTATATATGAAACTGTGTTCTTTTCCAAGTCCTACATGGCATTTTAACTGTGAATGTCATAATACTGTTTGCTTGTACTACTATAAAATATTCATATTTGTATGCTGTCATGTCCCATAAGTACAACAATGCCCATGTACATGTTTCATGGTGTTTTGGAAAGTTACAGGGTCAAATAAAGACTTTGCCCATTTCAGTTTTTATACATTGGTTTGCTGGGCCCATGTTGCCATTGAGACCATACGGCAGTCCAGGAATGAGAATTATTCCCATCATGGCATACTATTTGCAAAAGTATAATCAAAGAAACAATAGGGAGAAACTATTGCTCCACAATAGGGAGAAAGGGTGCCATGGCATCCAACCTCCGAAATTGGAGGGCGGTCGCCTAAACTATGCTCTCAGAAAGGGAATAACCCTTAAAGGACCACTATAGGCACCCAGACCACTTCAGCCAGGTCCAGCTAGGTTTAACCCTTTTTGCTGTAAACATAGCAGTTTCAGAGAAACTGCTATGTTTACAAATGGGTTAATCCAGCCTCTAGTGGCTGTCTCATTGACAGCCGCTAGAGGCGCTTCCGCGCTTCTCATTGTGATTTTCACAGTGAGAAGACGCCAGCGTCCATAGGAAAGCATTGAGAATGCTTTCCTATGGACTGGCTGAATGCGCGAGCGGCTCTTGCTGCGCATGCGCATTCAGCCGGTGACGGAAAAAGAGGGAGGAGAGTCCCCAGCGCCGAAGGAGCCTGGCACTGGAAAAAAGCAATTGTCTACCTCTTGAGTTTAACACCACTGAGCTAAACAACCAGGAATGAGCAGGGCCTGTTGTGTGATTGATAGAAGGGGGAGTGTAACAAGGTTAGTTTACAAAAGTGTCGATCGCTAGTGAAATATGCACTTTTTGTAAAATATAAAAAAGACATACAGCTGAAGTGCTTTTAGAGTCCAGAGTGTCCTTTTAAAAACATAATATGCTATTGGAATATCACTAATAAACAGCTCATAACTCCGTGGTAGGAATAATAAAAACTTTGAGTATGTAGCATCTATGAATAAAAATAAAACATAAAGCAAAATATAGCCATAGCCGGTATGAGTTTTGTAATCTTATGTATTATTATTGCTATTCTTACTATATTGTATCTATACACTATAATCCGATTTCAAATGTCTTTGTGCTAATAATTATTCATATTTTTATATTTTCTACTTACCTGCAGCTAAACATGTTGTCGTTAACTCTGCTCGAAAGCCCAGGGGGATCTAGGTAAGAGGGCAAATTGTTGCAAAATGGCTTGCCTTATTACTAGGGTACTCCTGCATCATAACCACTACAGTGGGCTGTAGTGGTTATGATGCTTGGAGTACATCGCTAATATGTCTACATATTATTTAAATACAAGTGATCAATATTACCGGAGAATGGCGCCAGAGTACTCCTGGCATCATAAGCACTAAAGTGGTCTGTAGTGGTTATGATACTTGGCATAACCCTTTAATATATTTATATATTAAGAAAATACAAGTGATCAATAAAAACACTGGTATAAAATACATATATGTTCATGTTCAGCAATAACTGCAAATGGCAACATCATTAATAATTAATATGTGCAAGCCCCAGGGACTTGGGATCACTTATTAAACATAAATCAGGCAGGAGATGTAGGGAACAAGGTCACCTCTATTGTAAGAACTAGTAAGATGGCAGATGGCACACTAAATAATCCTGCGGGTATGGAGTCTTTTCTGCATCCCTCAATGGGACTGCACTCATTAAATTAGAATACATTAAAATTAGTTGTTTCTTTTAGAATGCATACATTAAATAACTTACCATCTATAATTCTGTTATAAGGTCTGTGTTTCTTTTTAGTTTTTCTTTTTAACAAAAAGAGCCGGGATCAAGCAAGGGTTTACACTACTTATTAAATACCATTTTCTCACTTGAAGTCAAAGGGGAAATTGCTATTCAGTAAGTAGAGTAAATCAGCTCTAACTGTTCATTGTACGTAAGTCTACAATTCAAGAACTGTCATGTACAGTGCCTTGCAAAGTATTCACCCCCCTTGACTTTTTACCTATTTTGTTACATTACAGCCTTAAGTTCAATGTTTTATTAATCTGAATTTTATGTGATGAATTAGAACACAATAGTCTAAGTTGGTGAAGTTAAATTAAAAAAATATATACATAAAACTATTTGTTAGAAATAGAAAACAGAAAATTGGCATGTGCGTATGTATTCACCCCCTTTGTTGTGAAGCCCATTAAAAGCTCTGGTGCAACCAATTACCTTCAGAAGTCACATAATTAGTGAAATGATGTCCACCTGTGTGCAACCTAAGATTCACATGATCTGTCATTACATACACACACCTTTTTTGAAAGGCCCCAGGGGCTGCAACACGCAAGAGGCACCACTAACCAAACACTGCCATGAAGACCAAGGAACTCTCCAAACAAGCAAGGGACAATGTTTTTGAGAAGTACAAGTCAGGGTTAGGTTATAAAAAAAATATCCAAATCTTTGATGATCCCCAGGAGCACCATCAAATCTATCATAACCAAATGGAAAGAACATGGCACAACAACAAACCTTCCAAGAGATGGCCGCCCACCAAAACTCATGGATTGGGCAAGGAGGGCATTAATCAGAGAGGCAGCACAGAGACCTAAGGTAATCCTGGAGGAGCTGCAGAGTTCCACAGCGGAGACTGGAGGATCTGTACTTAGGACGACAATAATCCATACGCTCAATAGAATTGGGCTTTATGGCAGAGTGGCCAGAAGAAAGCCATTACTGTCAGCAAAAAACAAAATGGCACGTTTTGAGTTTGCGAAAAGACATGTATGGAGGAAGGTGCTTTGGTCTGATGAGACTAAAATTGAACTTTTTGTCCATCAAAGAAAACGCTAGAAAACAAGAGAACATCATCACCACAGTGAAACATGGTGGTGGCAGCATCATGCTGTGGGGATGTTTTTCAGCAGCCGGGACTGGGAAACTGGTCAGAGTTGAGGGAAAGATGGATGGTGCTAAATACAGGGATATTCTTGAGCAAAACTTGTACCACTCTGTGCGTGATTTGAGGCTAGGACGGAGGTTCACCTTCCAGCAGGACAATGACCCCAAACACACTGCTAAAGCAACACTTGAGTGGTTTAAGGGGAAACGTGTAAATGTGTTGGAATGACCTAGTCAAAGCCCAGACCTCAATCCAATAGAAAATCTGTGGTCTGACTTAAAGATTGCTATTCACAAGCGCAAACCATCCAACTTGAAGGAGCTGGAGCAGTTTTGCAAGGAAGAATGGGCAAAAATCCCAGAGGTAAGATGTGGTAAGCTCATAGAGACAAAAGGTGGCTCTACAAAGTATTGACTTTAGGGGGGGTGAATAGTTATGCACATTGACTTTTTCTGTTATTTTGCCCTATTTGTTGTTTGCTTCACAATAAAAAAATAAAAGAATCTTCAAAGTTGTGGGCATGTTCTGTAAATTAAATGATGCAAATCCTCAAACAATCCATGTTAATTCCTGGTTGTGAGACAACAAAACACAAACAATGCCAAGGGGGGTGAATAATTTTGCAAGGCATTGTAGGTGATAGACCTTCAAGATGAATAGCATCTCTCTTACATTTCAATGTTCTATATTGCACCTAGAAATTATAGATACAATCTTTATGAAATACTTCATTGAAATTCCAACCCAGTCAAAAGATATACTGTGACAAAATAGGGAATACTATTACACATTACAGTAATTTGCCCACTCCATCTAGAAATGTCAGTGTCCCAGCCATCACCAGTAATAGTTTCAGGGAATTGGCACTATCTATGGAGAATCATAGACATCAATGCAGTACTCCTGTGCCTGCGCAAGAGTCCAGCAGTGACATCGGCTCCTGGTGCTTAAGAGCATCAGCTGGAAGAAGATGAGGGCGCCTGCAAGGGATATATTTAAAGGGACACTATAGTCACCAGAACAACTACAGCTTATTGAATTTGTTCTGGTGAGTAGAATCATTACCTTCAGGCTTTTTGATGTAAACACTGTCTTTTCAGAGAAAATGCAGTGTTTACATGACAGCCTAGTGATAACTTCACTGGCCATACCTTAGATAGCTGTTAAAGATCCTTCCTGGGTCGTGGCTGCCTAAAATGCATCCAAACATTCAGTATCTCCTCCCTCTGCATGCAGACACCGAACTCTCCTCATAGAGATTCATTGATTCAATTCATCTCTATGAGGAGATATTGATTGGCCAGGGCTGTGTTTGAATCATGCTGGCTCTGCCCCGGATCTGCCTCTTTGTCAGTCTCAGCCAATCCTATGGGGAAGCACTGTGATTGGATTAGACTACCACTTCGGATGATGTCAGCAGACTGCTTGTTTTTTTCTACAGCTTCTGTCTTGAATACAGTAAGATGTTGCTATATTTATGTAGGCATGAGGGTCCCAGGGGGGCTAGATGGTGGCTTTAACACTATAGGGTCAGGAATACATGTTTGTGTTCCTGACCCTATAGTGATCCTTTAACTCACCTTTACCTGCCTACCCCCGGCCACTGGACCCCCTGCAGTGATGTCACTGTCAGTGGTCTTTGCAAATTATACTTTACCTCTGCTGTAATTCTAAGTACCTCTGAACTCTCAGTGACCATTAATACATTGAACAATTGAGATATTAAGGACTGTAACCCTAATGACCTGCAAGTCTTATATTTTCCCTATACTAAACAATAAGCCTTAGTATATCTAAAATGGAACTGTTACTTTTTCGCAAATAACACCAGTGAATAAAAATTGAAAATCACCCATTACTTATGTTGACATATTTTTTGATGCTCTTTCTTTAATGTTTTTAAAGGCAAACTCTAGTCACCATAATGATTTCACATCAGTAAAGTGGTTATGGTTCCTGGTGCCCCCTATCATCAGTTTATGTTTCTTTTTAAAACTGCTTTCAAACAGTTTAACACTAAATGAGGATCCCTGGCCACCCAGAGCTCTGCCACCATTAGAGGTATGGTACCAGAGTTACACCCCCCCATGTGTGGCTACGATAGTCCAAGTGTCTATGGATCCTCACTCGGTGATCAACTTTTTATTGTTCTCCTGATAGAGTTCCTTATAAGTTTGCAGCCCTCTAGCACCAAGTGTACACTAACATTCCCAATTCAGCCAAAGTATCCACAAAAAGAGGGGCACTGCCAGATTATTTTTGGGAGGAATAGCATCTAGGAAACAAAGTGATGTCCAAAGCTCTGCGAATACACAGCACATCACTGTGAGTTTTATTGTTTTTTAATTCTGTGCTAGCATAGGTGTAGGAATCGAAGGTGATAGGGGGATGGTATCCATCTCTTTGTCCATTTTAACCCTTTCTCTATCTTAGATAATCTTGTTGGAACAGAGCGGAAAATCCTCCCCCCAATGGTGGTGCATTTGCGATTCTATTTAAAATGTTTTTTTTTTTTTTTTTTAAAAACACAAACAAAAATATATTAAATATGTTATCTATATTGCTTCAAAAAGGAGACAAACAATATATTAAACACAATTTTTGATTAATAATGTCTACACTTTTCTTTTAAAAAAAATCCCTGCATATTATATGAATTATATGAGCAGTCAAAACTGAGATCGGGTTGCTTAAATAAACTGTGGGAAATATATATTCCTTTATCTTTAAAAATCCTAAGTCTTTCGCTATAAGAAAAAAAAAAAAAACCTTACATCATAGATGATACACACAAACAATATTACAGTGCACCACTGCTACGGAGAATGCTACTACAACATTCCCACTGGTAGTGAACTATTCTGTCTGTACAAAACCGTTTGAAGTATGCTCTTCTGGTGCCACAGATTTTCTTAGTGAAAAGATATCGTAGGTTCCTACAATGATGGATATGATACACTCACAGACATTAGACATTGCATTAGGTTTAATTGGCAAGCAGCTCTGGAATAGCCCAAATACAGTTACCTACCAAATACCCCACACAAAGCTCTTCCACCTCCCTCAACCATCCTTCACCTGTTTCAATTCTCCCTTATGGACCAGACTTATATCCCTCTTCTGCCCCAGAGTCAATCCTCCTATCCACCTAAATCCTTTACAGTGTCTGCTCTTTTTTCTAGTTAATGCTCCACTGCTATCCAGGTGCACAGAAGCTGTCAAGGGAGCATGCTATCTGACACTTCAGCATTGTGGCACCGACCTGACAAATCAGCTCATTTAAAGTCATATAGCAACCCTCTCCATATTGATATGAGCTGGGTGCAGATAATAGGACATGTTGTGTGGCCACCATGAATACAATTGCAGAACGGAGCTTTTGGGGCCAAAAAGTGCAACTGTCCTAGGATACATGGGAGAGTTGGCAAAACAGTAGTACAGGCTTAATAACATCAAACAAAGCCACATCAAACAAAGCCCTGAATACTTTACATATTACAAAACCTTGTATTGAGATGGTCAAACATATGAGAACGGGATTTTCCTGGAACAATATTATAATACCTTGCCCTGTATTCACACTCAAAGTCAGATAAGAGACAAGAAACCTATGATTCCCAAAGTAACCATCACCAAAATTCCTCAGTACTCAGTCATTCACACATTTGTTGAGGGTCATGGGTGTTGTAGTTTATCAAGTTCCAAGAATCACAAACTTTCTACCAATACTTCAGTATTTGGTGTGGAATCAAAGGGCTTATATATCAGTCTCATTGAGAATTGGAAGAATATGAAGAACGTGGCAACATCAAACTAGTTATTCGTATAACTGAATTATACCATAGAGTCATGCAGAACAGTAAGTAATGAGGATAACAAAATTTAATTTGACAGACAGAAGAAAATTGATTCAATAATCTTCGAGATGATGGTCCGCAATGTTTAATCCTTCATATTGTGCACTGATTTGCTTTAAAACATGGAACGTGTTCAAGTCTATCTAAAAGTCCTGAAAACAAAGCAGTTGAATATCATTATACTTATTTGACTGCAATTAGTGATGTGATTGCTATTCAAAGGTTATTTATGTTGAAAAGTGTCAGGCTTAGGATTTGTTTGAAAGTTCCTAGGCATTTAAACAATAGATTTAAAAGTTATAAACATTTCAAAATACTTTCTAAAATAAGCATTAACAGGAAGATGGCAGAAATACGATTTTCCATAAAAATCATGAATACTCACCAAACATGCATTCTCCGTCATGCACCTTATGAATGGAATTCAGGCCAGAGTGCTGAGACTTCAAGCTGTGTAAACGCAGGATGCATACGCTGGAGTGTGTCTTCCCATCTGAGCCACACACAGCACCATCTTCTTCGCACAAGCAGACCCCTGTACCCTCACGAAATGAAGATGACCCACTGCCAGTGCTGGACCTGCTCACGCAGACCATACCCGGAGCACAACGGGCACGTAACTCATCTCGTCCTCCGCACTCTTCTCCTTCGATGCTGAGGCATATCTCACAACAGTTGCATTCGTCCTTGGTGACCAACTCGGGGACTGCACAAGTTACGGGGCTGCACGCTTCTTTATTACAGTGTCCACATGCAGAATTGATATCGCTAGCACCAACACCTGGTATTCGCCACAAACATACAACCATAGGAAGAAGCAACAATAAAGCAGACATTTTTTTATAACCTTTAGTTGCTGAGTGTGTGTTCAGTTAGTCTTCAGCAGCAGTAACTGTCATTAGCTCTGTAACCAAACTGAGGTTGTTAATCCTCTCTGTCAGTAAAGACATAGACAGCTGCAGCTTGATTGCCACACCTCCCTACTGACAATTGCCAAAGAAGTTTGTGAAAAAAAAAAAAAGAACTTCCCATCATTCATTCAGCGGCAGTGCACATCCTCAATGGCTTTGAACACATGGGCTAAACAAATAGATAAATAAATGACCGATATCATTGCCATTCAGGAAGAGAGACTCTTTAACAGCAATTGTTAAGGAGCAGAGCTACCGTGCTCGCTATGCAGCAATGTAGAAGAAAAAATTCACTGAAATCATCTTGTGTGGGAAAATTATTCTGGGGAGACTAGCTTCTTTGAAGAGAAGTAGAGCAACACAGACAATAGACTTTGCAACGCCAATGGAAAACGGAGTTTGGCTGTGGGAAGCACACAATGAATTACTAAAACCCCACTGCTTTCACCAATTGTTATTTTTAGAGAAAGAAACGGCATATTAAGAATGACTGATATAACAATAGTATGAGAAAGAATGATGTAATAAATATATATATATATATATATATGTACAAAGGATATTTGTGAGAATTGGATCTCCCTAGCTTTTATAATTGATAGGATATGAAAAGTATGTCTTGCTACCAGTAAACCTTTTCAATAGACAACTGCACTCAATCCCATCAATCTGAGCCAGGGTGCAACCAAACCAGGACCAAGCACCAGTGGCGTACTAAGGGGGGGGGGCGGAGGGGGCGGTCCGCCCCGGGTGCCACCAGGATGGGGGTGCCATGACCAGCCCCGCCGGCCCCCCCCCATGCTGCAGCCGCCCGAGCGCTCTGTAAAGAGGCTCAGGCGGCTGCAGCTTTGCCCGGGCGGTGCGTCCATGAGGGTGGACCGCACCGCCCGGGCGCAGCCTGAGGAGAGGGGCTGACAGGAGGGAGCGGTCAGCTTCCTCCTTTGCTGTAGCGTGGCCGAGCCCTGCAGCATTGATAGTCCGACGGGTACAGAGAGCAGCTGTCTCCTGTACCCGGCCGGACTAACAGGAAGTGCGCACTGAGTGTGCACTTCCTGTTAGTCCGGCCGGGTACAGGAATGCCCCCTGTACCCGCCGGACTATACAGGGCCCCGGCCACGCCTACAGGAGGTAGGGGAGGGGGGTGAGAAGGGGTGAGAGAAAGGAGGGGGGGTGGGGGGAGAAAGAGGGGTGAGAGAAAGGAGGGGGTGAGAAAGAGAAAGGGGGGGTGGAGAAAGAGGAGAAAGGGGGTAAGAAGTTTTGGGAGGGGGGGTGAGAAAGAGGAGAAAGGGGGGTGAGAAAGGAGGGGTGAGAAAGAGGAAATGAGGGGGGTGAGAGAAGAGAAAGGGGTAGTGAGAAAGAAAGGAGGGGGGGGTGAGAAAGAGGAGAAAGGGGGGGTGGGAGAGGAGGGGGTGAGAAGGGGAGAAATGAGGGGGGTAGAGGAGAAAGGGAGGGGGTGAGAAGTGAGGAGAAAGGAGGGGGGTAGAAAGAGGAGAAAGGGGGGTGAGAAAGAGGAGAAAGGAGGGGGTGAGAAGAGGAGAAAGGAGGTGGGGTGGAGAGAGTTGGAGTGGTGAGAGGAGAAATGGGGGGGTGAGAAAATAAGGGAGGGGGGTGGTGAGAAAGGGAAAAATGTGGGGTGTAAAAGAAAAGGAGGGGGTGGTTAAGAGAAAGTGGGTGAGAAAGAGAAAGGAGGGGTGAGAAAGAGAGGAGGGGGGGTGATAAAGAGAAAGGAGGGGGGAGAGAAATTGAAATTATGAGGAGGAAGAGATATTAGGAGGGGGGAAAGAGAAATTAGGAGGGGGGTGAGAGAGAAATTAGGAGGGGGGAAGAGATATTAGGAGGGGGGTGAGAAAGAGAAATTGGGAGGAGGAGAAGGAAGTTGGAGCGGGAGGAGAGATTGACATTCATCACATACACACAATGCACCCCTAGGGCGGCAAAAATACTTGCACTGGCCCTGGCTGGAGGGGGCTGTGTGAGCTGTGGCCGCACAGTGTCCCATGGTAGTTAGGGTGCCATACAGCTCACAAGCAAACAGCTGATAAACTGGCCGCACAGAGGAAATGTGTATGTGTGACTGTCTGCCTGTGACTGTGTGTGACTGTCTGCCTGTAACTGAGTGTGTGACTGTCTGCCTGTAACTGAGTGTGTGACTGTCTGCCTGTAACTGACTGTGTGACTGTCTGTCTGTAACTGTGTGTGTGACTGTCTGCCTGTAAATGTGTGTGTGGGGCTGCAGGGATTTTGTAGAAGGGGGCATGGGGTTTTGTATTGGCACAGGAGTCTTTATAAGGGGGGATAAGCAGGGGATTTGTGGAAGGGGGTTGCGGGGGTTTTGTAGACGGGGCAGTACAGGATTTGTAGAAGGGGCAGGACAGAGGTTTTGTAGGAGGGGCAGGGCAGGACAAGGGTTTTGTAGGAGGGGCTGACAGCGGTTTTGCAAAGTTTACAAATTGTAAAAAAAAAGAAATAAAACCTTTAACATTTTTTACAGGTTTTTTGGGGTGGGGGGGGGTGCCAAGCACAGGATCCGCCCCGGGTGCCAAATGCTCTAGGTACGCCCCTGCCAAGCACCAGGTTCCAGTGACAATAATATAGTATACAAAGAAAATGGTTCAGCCACTCCAGGATCCAGAAATGACAAATTGATTGAAGCCCAAAGTGACACAACGTTTCGACCTTGCGGTCTTTATCAAGCTCAAGCTTGATTAAACACTCCTTTTTGCATTTTTGACGTTGACTATTTTTTTATAAAAATAAAGGCATCAGTAAAATAACCTAATTTAGGCTTATATACATCATCCTGCTATGGACATGTGGTCTTTAGACGTCCTCATTGTGATTAGCAAAACAATGACCTATTTTTTGATTGGTCGCAGTTTATGGTAATTTAACAGTGTTAAACAGAATTGCGACAAGAGTCTTTTTAACAACATCTAAATTACAAAACCGTATGTTATTGTTTCATTAAAAGGAATACTATCTGTTCAGCATGATTATATTTACAGCAGAAAAACAATACAAACCTAAAATAATGTTAGAGGTTAAGTGAACAGTTATTAAAACAAGACATATCTAGCATACAAATGTTCCAATAAGACTTAATTATTTCAAATTATTTTATATTGATAAGGTGATATTATAATTTAGCAAACAGACAGGTTATTGATTGGCAATGTGTTTCTATTCTAAATCTAGTGCATAAAAGGAACTACACTAACATTGAGGAGTGTGTGCATGTGATCCTCAGAATACATCAATTTGTATTTGTATAGAACCTATTGTCCACATGTCACTCGAAAGCAATGGCGTATCTCAGCATTTCTGTCATCATCAATCTTCAAAGAACTTCCATCTTCATTGTTTGTTCACAGTGGGAGTTTTATATGATCCACTGAAACATTAAGATTTCACCAAAACAGATTTAGAACATTTATGGGTATTTGAAAAGATATTATTTCATTTGAAAGTATATCTCAAATTTAGCAGGGAATGAAAACCCCGCAAACAGTTTAAATGATATGCTTTCCTGAAGAAGTGTGTTTTCAAGGATTTTTTGAAGGAGTGTAGACTGGGTGAGAGTCTAATGGAAAAGGGAAGGGAGTTCCACAGAAAAGGTGCAGCCCTGGAGAAGTCTTGAAGGCGAGCATTCGATGTGGGAGTTTGGACAGAGGATAGACGTAAGTCTTCGTAAAAATATAACCCTGCCCCCACCTCCAACTGTAGAGCTATAATGAGCCTCACATCAGTGGCATCAACTCTTCCCTCTCACCCCCATCAACATGTATGCTTTCAGAGAAGCCCTGCACAAATGATCATCTGATGATTATGAAAACAAAAATGTACTTTGAAATGGAGTCATTTATTAAATAATGTTATAATGTCGACACAGTATTAGCTAGAGACCCCCAAAATCACTTATTTGAAAGATGTCAATCCTTTCTTTCAAATATGTTTTGAGATACTTTAATGCATTGATCGCCATGGTAATGAGGATAAACTGATGCTATTAAAAATAGTTTGTCAGGCATGGAAAAAGAACGTAAAAACATATACGGATATTTTAAAATTTGCCCTTGCTACTTCTGGCAAACAGGGCTTCAACACTCCTTGCTCTTCCTGGCATTGTGTGTATCTTAGCTGTCATGACTCCATGTTTCCTCTACTCTCATAAGTTCTCTCTAATTCATCATACAATCAAAACGCTCACAATATGAGTGTTTTAAGAGCTGAAATCTTTTTACGTAAGCTCTTTATACTGGATTGGAAAATATGGGGATCTTAACAGGCCAGCACGCAGCAACGAAGGTGTTAAAGTATCAGCAATGGTTTCTTTTTTTTTTCTTTTTTTTTTACCCATTACAACATGTTGCAACTGTAATTTATCTTTCATTTTCAAAGAGCATTACTCAAAAACTGTCTTGATTAGGAGTGATCTTGACTAGGAGAGTGACTGACAGTGTGAGTGTCCAGTGAGTGTAGTGTAGGATCAAGGAGATTCTCAGAGGAGCCTGCCGAGGGCCTTAGCATAGATTAGAAGATGGAGGAAGAAGAAACACCCAATTAGGTACAAACCAGACAGGGACAAGTGTGGTAGACTCACATGGGAGATGAAGCTTTTATGAACAGACACATGCAGAAAAGGACAGAACAGGGAGGTTCACAAACACCTCACTCAGATGCTGACTGAGCAGCACTACCTAATCCCCTTCTTAAATTCACTGGTTCCTCTTATGTTAGATTTTGCCCTCTTTGCCATGTCTGTAGGTTAAATTCTCAGTTGTATACTAACTACCACGATAAAATAGGCTGGCTTGCAAATCTTTTATAATTTGAGTTTAAGAAGAAGCTTCTACCCTATAGGTTTTCCCCAAAAAACATGTATGCCATTTTTACATGGACTAACTAACTGCACAAGTAGTAAAAGAAAGTTAGCACACATACGCATATGTGAGCCCAAGGCATCATGGGGCTGAGAAGATGCAGTAACACAAAAGCGCAGTGGCAGTTATCAAGCTTGTTACATACATCCATTGCATGTTTCACCCAGTAAACTACGAAATAGTGTTTATTGCGGGGAAGAAATAAGAAACTCTCATTTCTTTTAACTGTCCAAATACAAATGTAATAAAAAATAACTATTTAGTAGAGGTGCCCCCAATTCAACATACACACAATTAATTAATTAATACACATAATTAATATTAATTTTCGCACACCTCCTGGGTGGTATGTTTTATTCCTCATTATCGGGTCCTCTTTAAAAGGCCCAGAAGTTTGAGGGTTCTGCACAGTATCTTAGCTGTTCCTAGAACTGCACTCTTCTGGACAGCAATCTCAGATGTCCCACCTGGAATCTGTTGAAGCCACTCCCCCAACTTGTAACAAGACTGAGTGCTCTTATTACAACTGGGACTACTACTGCCTTCACTTTTCACATAATTTCTAGCTCTTCTTTCAGTCCTTGGTATTTTTCAATCTTTTCATGTTCTTTCTTACTGATGTTATAGTCACTGGGTATTTCCACATCCACAACAACTGCACTCTTCCGTTCCTTGTCTACCACCACAATGTCAGGTTAATTGGTCAGTACTTGCTTGTCCGTCTGGATCTGAAAGTCTCACAGGATCTTGGCCCTGTCATTCTCAGCTACCTTTTGTGGTATCTTCCATCTGGACTTAGGCAGGCCCAGCCCATATTCTGTGTAGATGTCTCAGTACACAATCCCAGCAACTTGGTTGTGCCTCTCAGTGCATGCTGTTCTTCCTAACACCTTGCAACCGACCACTATGTGCTGGATTGTTTCAGAGGCCTCTTTGCACAGTCTGCACCTTGAGTCTTGTCTGGTGTTGTAGATCCCTGCTTCTATTGATCTGGTGCTGAGTGCCTATTCCTGTGCAGCTAGGATTAATGCCTCAGTGCTGTCTTTCAGTCCTGCCTTTTCCAACGACTGGTAGAATTTTGTCATCCACTAGCGGATGCTGGTACACCCCATGGAGAGGTTTATCTTTCCATGGAACCTCCTTTTCTGCATCCTCTATGTGTTAAAGTATCAGGCATTCCCTGAGCAGTTCCTTTTTGGGAGCCATCTTTGTGATGTACTTGTGGATGCTCTGTGTTTCAGACAGGAATGTGGCCTTGACACTCATCAGTCCCCGACTTCCGGCTTGTGAACAGTCTTTGGATGTTTGATTTTGGGTGGAATCCTCCATTCATAGTTAGTAGTTTCCAGGTATTGACATCCATGGTGACCAGTTATTCTCTTGGCCAGGTTATTATTTTAGATGGGTACCTAATGACCGGTAGGGCATATGTATCGATGGCTTCGATCTTGTTCTTATAACAACAACAACAACGTATGGGGAGACAACATAAATATGATAGTAACACCAGGTACAAATTCTCTACGACCCTTCCTCAAGTGCCCAAACAACTATATACAAAAATAGAGAATGCACACTATAACCACCACTTAAACATTTATAAATTCTTTATTAAACAAAAAAATGTTTGCATACATAAAGTAGAGAATACAGTGACAACTAATATGCAAAATAGCAAACAATAATAATTACCAAAACTCCACAAGCCTACTATGACAGAAACACGAGCTACCAATACCCCCAAAGTTTCGGCAAGTACTGGCTGTTTTGAAACACTAATATTTGTGTTCAGCAAAGTCTCCTGATTATAACCGTACCCCCCCCTCCCCCCCCATGTACAGGTTTTAAGGTGTTTTTGAAAGCTACAAAGTCAAATATAAGGCTTGATTTTCTGTTTTTTCACATTGATATTTGCCAGATTGGTTATGTTGCCTTTGAGAGCGTATGGTAGCCCAAGAATGAGAATTACCCCCATGATGGCATACCATTTGAAAAAGAAGACAACCCAAGGTATTGCAAATGGGGTATGTTCAGTCTTTTTTAGTAGCCACTTCGTCACAAACAGTAGCCAAAGTTAGCGTTCATAATTGCTTTTTTCATTTCTAACACACAAATATAAATGCTAACTTTGGCCAGTGTTTGTGACTAAGTGGCTACTAAAAAAAGACTGGACATACCCCATATTGTATACCCTGGGTTGTCTACTTTAAAAAAAAATATGTACATGTGAGGTATGATTCAGAGATTTATTACAGATGTCACTTTTGATAAATTTTAAAAATATATATTTTGAAACCACAATGCCCTACTTGTACTTATAGCTCTATAACTTGCAAAACAAGGTTAAGAACATATTAACATTGGGTATTTCTAAACTCAGTACAAAAGTTAGAAACTATTTAGCACGGGTGTTTTTTGGCGGTTGTAGATGTGTAACAGATTTTGGGAGTCAAAGTTACAAAAAGTGTATTTTTTTTTTTTTTATTTCATCATATTTTATAATTTTTTTATAGTAAATTATATGATATGATGAAAATAATGGTATCTTTAGAAAGACCATTTAATGGCGAAAAAAACAGTTTTTAATATGGTTGGGTACAGTAAACGAGTAAGAGGAAAATTACAGCTAAACACAAACACCACAGAAATGTAAAAACAGCCCTGGTCCTTAACGGAAAGTTGAAAGCCAGTCTGGTCGGTAAGGGCTTACTTAACACTCATCTTGCAGCATATGCATTTTACAAACTGCATGGCATATTGTATCCAACACCATGGCAAATTAAGGAGGGAATTTATTGACAGCAAAAAAAAAAAAAAAACACTTTTAATAATGTATCATGTGTCTGCTCCACAGATCTAACAGATGTATCTTATGCAAGTCGATTTTCATATTTCCACCAGAAAACATGCAGAAAAAACCATGAATGTTTTCCTCTGGGATATATCTACTAAGTATTAAAAAAACAAGCAATGGGGTGTTCCTTTAAATAACTCGAGTTACATGCACCATTGCTGCTTTTATCCTGAAAAGATTAGGCTAGCCGAGTACTATACACGAGAGACAACACGGCAGAGGCGGTGAACTAGAAAATGTCTCCGCAGAATAATGTTTAAATTGGAGCCAAGATACATTGACAATGAAGGCATCAGTCTCCAGAAAAATGGCGCCTGTTCAGGCGACAAATTGAATAGGAAGTTGTATAGCTCTGTTTTGGAGGAAGAGGGGCGGGCTGTCCATGTTTGTCCTATAGCTGTCTACTTCCTGTTTGGAGTCATCCCTGAGAGCACCATGTGTGCCATGCGGATGGAGGATGCTATCGGCCAGGTTGTGCTGCCTGGAGATGTTCTGCTGCTCCCTGGCCAGTCTCAGGATGCCCCTCTGTCCTTGTCCGGGGCCCCCCAAGTTGCCAGGGTTAAGGTGGTGTGTGGCCCCGGACTCCTGAGGCGAGGTGATGATCTACAGGTCAGCAAGTGTGGGCTGCTGAGACACAAGGAGCCTTCCGTCTACTGGGTGGACTCTCAGCAGAAAAGGGTACACATCCTTCCACTAATTATATACCAGGAAGAACTGGCATGCACTGGGTGTGTAGCTGGTGTGTGCACAGCTACCATCAAGTTTAAAATCCAACATTCCGACCCATGTTCTGTAATAGGAACGACAGAAGCCTTAGAGATTACCTTGTTACACTCTGTGTGTCTCAATTATCACTTAATATTAACACCTATATAATCTAATCACACTCCCTCAACACCATCACTAACGTTAACTCACTACACAATCTCTATCTACACTAATCCTAACCAACTCTTACGTAACATAACCACTACAATCCATAATACTTATAATAACACAAATCTTAACCTGAAAGTACAATGTTATATAAAAAAAAAATGTAAATCTAAAGTGGGAAAATGCCAATGAGCAGTGATCTAATGGTATGATTTTCCCCTTCATACACAGTCATGGGTCTTTCTCAATCTCCCTGAAATGCTTTGACATTGAGGATATTACTTGACCAGGATGATAAGTGAATACAACCCATTTTAAGAGTTAGAGTAATAGTTTTATTTAAATAAAAAAAGACACAAGGACATACTAGGCACCATAATCACGATAGCATGCAGTAGTAATAATGGTGTTAGAGTTTGTGGGCACTCTCCCGAGGTAATCTGTCAAATTGTTCAGTTTGACACTTCCCTTGTTGTGCTGGAAATTCCATAAACCAGTAGAATGAAAAATTTTTATTTTAGTCAGATGGTATCAGGAGACAATGAATTTCTATGGCAAAACATTGAAATGGCTGAGATTATCAACATTTACCTGTGTGTATTGTTTTTAATTTAATGGCAGCGCTGGCCTTGTCACCTAAACGGTGACTAGAGCACTATTGCGTCCCTTTAAGAGCTGAACATTTTAAGAATTATTCTATCAAATTAATTTTGTAATTTTTTTTAATTTTTTTTTAGTATGTACCCGTGAAGGGTGACCATGTCATTGGCATTGTAACTGCGAAATCTGGAGATGTATTCAAGCTGGACATTGGAGCTAGTGAGCAAGCTTCGTTGTCTTTCATGGCATTTGAAGGTGCAACTAAAAAAAACAGACCAAATGTAAAGGTAGGTTTATTTTTAGAGGACTGCAGTCATACTTCAAATTGAAATTCTTGTTAAATATTTTCCCCATATAAAATTGAACAAATGGTGCAGCAAAGTAAGTAATGCTCTGTTCTTTTCTAACTCGCGGTCATCTCCCCTTGAATTCCTTTTCTTGCTCTCTATGCTCTAGTCCTGTCCTCTTCCTTTAAGTTTTAATCTGCTGTAGACTTCCTTTTCTCCCTCTCATTACCTTGTTCTCCATCCCGACAGTGTAGCAAGGTACAAAGTAGCCTTTCGCCGAGAAACACATCAGAGTGTCAAGTAAAGACTTGTGGGGGGTGGGCAAGGTACAATACATTGTATTCCTGGCACTGTAGTATCCCTTTAAATAGAATGATCTGACTTTCACTTTAAATGTGATATGGAAAAAAAATAAAAATGAACTCTTAAAAGAATACTACAAGCACTATAGCCTGCTTTACTGTAGTCAAACGGTCTAAGAATGATTTGTCAACGTTCCTGGGGACTACAGAGCTCCCGCCACCTCCTCTACAGCCAGTAGCTCTGCTACTGAGGTAAGGTCAGCATTGCTTGTGTCCCAGCCAACTTAAATTAGACATTAACTTTAATCTTTCACTTTAGTAAATAACCATGAATGAGTGTATACAGTTTTATCATACTTCTAATTATAATACTATCATTTTGCTTTGTAGGTTGGAGATCTTGTTTATGGACAGTTCATTGTTGCAAATAAAGACATGGAGCCAGAAATGGCCTGCATAGACAGTTCTGGAAAAGCAAATGGAATGGGTGTTTTTGGACAAGATGGATTTATGTTTAAAGTGTCGTTGGGTCTCGTAAGAAAGTAAATACAATTTTTTTTTTTTTTTTCATTTAAGGATTAGAGGAATCTACATAATGCTTACAGTGTATATTAGACCATAATTACCCCTATACAGTCTAGTGGCTGGAGTATATGTAAATGTAATTAATGGCATGGTGATAAATAATTGACCGTGGTATAGTAGTAGTTCTCCACAAATTACATGCAGGTTTATTCACGAACACTAATGAAATAGCCAAGCTATGATCATGGAGTTAGAAAATGTTAGCTGTGAGCTATGGGATTCTGAATGCATCTGTATAATTTGTGCAGTGCTAAATTACATCAATTGTGGAAAAAGTCAAAACACTCCAGGCAACTAGCATTGTAAAAAGCAAACACCACATGTTTACCAAGAAACCATACAAAAGCAAGGGAAAATAAAATGCATTGTAGAATGAGTGGAAAATCCACACAGGAATGTGCTTTTGGTTAATAATTGACACAGATCCACAGCTAGGCAATTTGTTGCAGCTCTTCACTTTTAAGCCTTACACCCCTCTCTGCAATCAAATCATCAATAAAGAAAGAAGGGGATTGCGGTAAAGATTTAAGGCACTAGTCAATAGTTTAAAAAAAAAAAAAAAAAATACAATGTATAGTCTTACTCCACCACTAAACTATCCTCTTCTGGGATTTAGGAAAAAGAAAATACCAGTAAGAGTAAAAATGTATTTTGTGTGAAAGGCAAAGATTAAATAATTGTATTTTAACTTTTTTTTTTTTTTTTTACAGGCTGCTAACACCACAGAACGACATTATTCAGGAGCTAATGAACGTTTACCCATTGGAAATAGTTATTGGGATGAATGGTAGGATATGGACAAAGGCGAAAACCATCCAACAGACATTAATTATTGCTAATTTACTAGAGGCTTGTGAATACTTAACAGCTGCACAGAGGAAGCATGTCTTTGCACAATTTGCTGACGGCATGTAAATGAGTCTATGTACAGACCTAGTTTTATCACTTAATTCAGAACAAAAGTGCTATTCAGGTTCCCGGTCACGAAATGACAAGCTGATTTGGGCTGTTCTTTTAAAAATCTTTGCAGCCTAGAGCAGTTTAAATGTAAAACAGCTTATTGTATATGATTGTCATTGTTGTTCCATCCACCTGACATTTATACCTATTCTTGGAGAAAGCATTTAGAAAAACTTGACCGATGTTAGTCACTAAGCTCCAAAATGTAGAGAACTAAAATCTGCATGTCAGAATTCTCCATTTCAGCTAAAGTTACTGCTTGGCCATTTTTATCTAAATTTAGCACTTTGGATTTCAGTTTGTGGCATTCAGAATAATCGTGTTTACATTTGCTCAATTCTGTTTCTTTTAAAATACGGATTGTAACAGTGTTTTATAAAATCCTATATTTTTTTCATTGCTTGGTACTGATTTTTTATTTATATATATATATATATATATATATATATACACATATATATTACAATTCCAAAAATATTGACATAGAGGTATATTTTATCATCAATAACAAATGTTTGGTTAGATCACACACACAAAAAATATGGTATTACCAAGCTTTTGGATACAATATTGGACATGTAGCTGAGCCTCTACCAGCATGATCATACTTCTAATTAAACACTTCAAAGGATATGTTGCTACTGGCTCCAGACTTTGTCTTAATGAAAATACATTCAAAATCCCCTTTAAAATGTATTAAATAAGCATTAAAAAAAAATGGGAAAAGACAAACACTATTTGCTTAAGAAATAAAATCCGATAAAGTCTGCAAAGTCCGGCAGATATAAAAGCACATTTTCACTATTGAGCAATAGTGTTTAACTCTACCATTTTAATGCTTATTTAATACGTTTTTACAGGGGATTTTTGATAAAGTCAGGCACCAGTGTCTACATATCCTTTGGAGTGTTTACTTAGATGGCCTTAAGTCTAAGCCTGCTGGAAGAGGTTCAGTTACTTGTCCAATATTGTATCCAATAGCATGGCAATACCATTTTGTGTGTTCTCTCACCAAAAATGTGTGTGTGTGTGTTCACTTAAAGGACCACTATAGGCACCCATACCACTTAAGCTCAATGCAGTGGTCTGGGTGCCAGGTCACTCTAGTTTTAACCCTGCAGCTGAAAACAGCAGTTTCAGAGAAACGGCTATATTTCACTGAGGGTTAATCCAGCCTCTAGTGGCTGTCTCACTGACAGCCGCTGAAGGCCCTTCTGTGATTCTCACCGTGAAAAGCAATGAGAAGACGCTGGCATTGAGTAATGCTTTCATATGGGCTGTTTGAAGTGCGTGCGTGACTCTTTCTGCCCATGCAGATCTGACGTCGGCAGGGGGTCGAGAGTTCCTCAGCACAGAGGGAGCCCGGCGCTGGAGAAAGGCAAGTGGCTGAAGGGGTTTTTACCTCTAGTGCCAGGAAAAAGTTTGTTTTCCTGTCACTATAGTGCTTCTTTAAGTGTGTGTTTGAGTGACTATATCACATGGTGATTGGAACATCATTTGAACCACTTTATCCTTCAACTTGTTTCATTAGTTTATTATATTTTCTCATTACATTGTAATCTAGAGTAAACATATTTACAAACTGGGCTGTAGTGGTAGACTAACCTTTTAAGTGTCAGATGATGGCATTACTTTGTTGGGTTATCGTTTAATCCAATGCTTTTCATAGAATTGGAGAGGAGTAGCCCCTGCACAACTAGCACAATACTAGTCCAATCACATGCTTTTGATGGGTGAGCAATGAATGCAATGTTTCCTATGATTGGCATTTTACGTAAAATATCACATAACAGTCAAACTCAGGAAAACAGCCACTATAAGTATGTCTTGCTCATGGCAATGTTTTAGATTCAAGGACGAAAACTACTCACTAGACCCGCACCACTTCATTGTCCCTTTAAGTTTCCTTAACATGCTTATTTCATAAAACCATAATTATTAAAGATGTTTAAAACCAATTCCTGAATATATTCCCTTAATGGAACACTCCAATCCCTATAACTTCAGCTCATTGAATTTGTTATAGCAGTATTTGGTGCAATCTTACCTTCAGGGGTTGCATGTTTCTCTCAATGGGTGACCAGTGATTAGGCAAGAGTGTCAGGTGACGCTCTTAACCTACCACCGGTTGTCTGTTAAAATCTTCCTCATAGACAAGTGGCAGAGAGTAAAGAAGGCAGGGCACTATGTATTTGAAAGAAATTAAACAGATGCATTTTTTTTCCTTTTTGAATGTTTTAATACAGTTGTTGAATAACTTAAGGATAAAGTAAAAACACATCACACTCTAAGCAGAAAAAAATAAGCACATTAGATGTTTGTCCTATTTGACAGGATCGCGAAGAAGAAAGCCTTTTCCTGGTGGAACTCCCGCTTTCAATGCATCTGGCCAGCTTTGGGTCTCTAGATATGTGGCCAACACATCAAATACTGTGAAATTGAAAATGTGTTTAATTAAATATGCCTGTTGTATTTGAACGGTTTACAGCCTAAAAATAACTGTGTAGCATTTTATTAGAGTGGCATGCATACATTATAGCTAACAGGGCATTATGAAATCTGCCTGATCTCTATACCTTTGCAGATGTAGAATAAGCAGAAGTCATTTAACATCCTAGTGGTAACTTGCAATAGGCTTGAAGATGTCTCTGCTTATATAAGTTTACACTAACAAAGCTCCATAAAAAGTTAACATTTAAATTAACGAAAAAAACAAAAGTGAAAGTATATAAAGGATTCCCTCGTGCATAGTGAAGTGCTCGAGTGAGTGGAGGGAAATCCAAAAGGAAAAATCCCGACGCGCGTTTCAGAGTACAAGACTCGGGTTTTTTTCTTTTGGATTTCCCTCCACTCACTCGAGCACTTCACTATGCACGAGGGAATCCTTTATATACTTTCACTTTTGTTTTTTTCGTTAATTTAAATGTTAACTTTTTATGGAGCTTTGTTAGTGTAATGGTATCAGTGTGAGGGGACAGCGCATAGTTAGCTTACTTATTATAGAACACCCACGAAGGTGTTATGAGGAGATAGCGGATTAGAATAGTGGCGTTTTTTTCAAGGGATTTTCCTCAATTATATTACTTTAACCACTGTCTATACCGATATCTAATTCCTCATATCTTTCTCTACATAGTGGTTAAGCTACCTAGTAACAGATATTTCGTCTTTATTCTTATTCTATGCTATACTGTCTCCTCTACTACCCTGCACACTTATCCATAATAAGATTTTAAGGTACTACATTTATTTTGTTTTCTCTGTGGATCATCCCATGTGATATCTCATTTTCCTAACACTTAGTATGCTTTAATTGAGATTTGGATACTGAGTTTGATCCACATAGGATGTTAGGGTTATAAGCTTTTTGGAGACACTGATACATTGTATCTTTTCTACAGTATAGTTAATAAAGTTGCAGTGTGTCACTGTTTATGTTAGGATACATGTTTATTCAGTGTCTCTAATATCAATATATGCTTTCCCTGTAGTTATTACCTTTTTTCTGACAATTTATAGGTATATTTTTGTATCAGTTGGCGTTCCTTTTACCATCATTACCAGATTAATTGGGAGTCCCCCCTTCTTTTTAGGGGAGTTATCCGATTATTGTGTTCTTGCATTTTTTTATGTTTACATTAAAATGCCTGCAGGGACATGCTATACACACCAGAACAGCTACGTTAAGCTGTAGTTGTTCTGCTTACTATAGTGTCCCTTTAAGATGGCCATCTAACTGTACTTCTACAATAGCCTTTAATACCTAAGGATCAAACGACTGAATTCAGCAGATGCTAGAGATCTAATCTTAGCTACCCCATTAACAGTATACGTTCTCTGGTTACTCAAAATCATGATTATTATCACAAATACACATTTGTTTATAACTGTGCTCTTTATTAATAAAGCACATTTCTAAAGTAGTTTAAATGCTCTTTGCAACCTATTACAAAGAGTGCAAACACAAATTTTACCTTGATTGATTGCTAGTATCTCAGAATGGAAGTTTTTCAGATTAACGTTCTTAACCATATATTCTGGTATTGGCAGTCGGGCAGTCTGCAAGCCATTTTCTCTAGCTTTATGATATGTCAATTTCTATAGGAGAAACAACAAAACCTGTTAAACCTGTCAAACATTACACTTACATAACAGTACTGTTGTGGTTATGGTGCCAGGAGTGTCCTTGTGCCCCCATATAGTAACAATTTGACTTTTTACCTAGGGCTGCCATTCTCTGCTTTTCCTCAGTCAGAAGCTTTTATAATGGAGTTAATCCCAGAAGTGCAGAGCTTAGCTTATTGCTGCGAGTGACCAGCTGATGATCAGATCCTGCACTGTAGGTCTTGACTCAGAGCTAATGGAAGCAACTAGCAGGAACTTCTGCCTGAGAGGAGGCAGGAAAAATTACTCACTCGGCAAACCCCTAGATAATAAGTCAAAATTGCAATTTGAGTACTTTCATGAGGGGAGGCCCCGGTGCACTTCTGGCACCATAACCACTACAATAATATTTTAAAGGGAATCTGTCTCTTTACATTATGAAAAATAGTTAGAGGCTGCCCACTAACTACATTTCCTAAACACCGCTTCACAGGTTACACAAAACCTCTTTATAGTACTCAACATTAGCACAAGTTGACTACTTAAATTACAGCACTGAGACCAGTTGACAATTTGGGCACAGATGAACTGCAAATTTAGGCTAAAATAGCTCAAAGATTTTGCATTTCTTTGCATAAACTATATCCACAAATTCCTGGTTTAGGTCTGGTTTTAAATTTGTTCCCTGCATTTTGTTTTTGGCAATACAATACAGTACTATCCATTAATGAAATTGCAGATTAATAAAAAAAAAAAAATAAGACATTTTGAGCTCTGCCAGTGAGGTCTATCAAACCTCAAGAGCAAAGAAACAAATTAAGTTGCAGATATTGACAGGATTAGCACAATGTTTACAAGTTTAACAGCCTCAATGGTCCGGGTAGGCTGCCGAGGGGTATTATCTTCCAAAATCATCATATTTTGAAGGATTATACTTTGTTAAACTGTCTCTGGGTAATAGATTAGAACGGAGCTGAGCAGCTTTATCTAAACATAAGAAATTGAGTATGGCAATCAATTCTACCCTCAATTAAATGTAAATAAGAAAGCCAATAAATGAAATATATCTGAAAAACAAAAATGGTAATGTAACATTGTGCAAAATGTAAATTTTTATATTCACCTTCTGTATACTTTCATCCACCAATCCACCAAGCACATAAACCTTCTGAGGGTCAATATCTTTAAGAGCTGTGACAAAAAGGGAGAAAACATTGACTTGCAGGTCAGCCTATCATCTGTAAATACTAAAAGTCTGATACAAGAACTGAAACACTGACCTGTGATTTTGCTTAAAAATTACAGTAAAACAGCTTTAAGACCTTTTTCCAAGTCTGACAAGTGTATGCCTTCAAATATAAATTTATTACAGCCACAGTTTGAACACTGAAGCAATTATATTTACCAAAAGGTCATATTCTCTGCAATATATGGCAACGGTCGTTTACAGTGTGAGTTGACACTATGGATCACAAAAACTCTGCAACTAAACATTAGGGTTATTTACTTAACTGAGAATTGTCAGGAACTACACGTGAACTTAAAGGGACACTCCAGTCACCCAGACCACTTGTGCCCATTGGTGTGGTCTGGGTGCTAACTCCCACCAACCCTTAACCCTGCAAGTGTAATTATTGCAGTTTTTATATACTGCAATAATTACCTTGCAGGGTTAAATCCTCCTCCAGACAGCCACTAAAAAAGACTTCTGTGTTCTTAGAACACGAAAAGTGTTTTAAACTACACTGGACATCCTCACGCTATGCATGAGGACCTCCAGCATCGCTGGAAACCCCATAGGAAAGCTTTCTTATGGGGAGGTCTAATGCACGTGCACAGCCATTGCCGCGCATGCACATTAAGTCTCCATGTGAATGTGGGCGGAGCCTGACCCAGCGCAGAGGGACATCGGCGGTGGATTCAGGTAAGTCACTGAAGGTGTTTCAACCCCTTCAGCAACATGGGATGGGGGGTGGGAGGGAGAGGGACACTGCAGGGTTCTGCAGTGCCAGGAAAACAGGAATTACAAATCTAATGGGATACTCCACTTTCCAAATTAAACACCAAAAAACTGTTAGTAGATATAACAACCAATAAAACATTTATATATTTAATTATGCACTTTTTCATTGGAGTATCTAAAAACAGCTTGCAAAATCCTGGCACTACCACAGGACAGGCAAGGGAGCTGTGCATGAAGAGCACAAAGATAAGAGCTCCCTTGCTGCTTGTCTACAGCACCTCTTGCCATGTACATATAGACCTAGAACTAACTCTGCTTAGCGCTGGGCTGTCCTTGTGCCGACCTAAGATGGCTGGCCGTCTCTTGGGCACTCACGACCTTTTCAACTCCACATGTTTCACCACTGTTTACAAGTCAAGTTCTCTTAGCAATTACCTGCCTCTTGCGTTTAGCTACACTAAGCTAAACAGCCAGGAAGTAACCGACTGACAGCCAGTGGGGGTTATAACAAGTTTCATTTAGAAAAGTATTAATTTCTTCTAAAATTTGCACTTTTTATAAAATGACTAAAATAAAATAAAATGGGAAAAAAACACAAAAAAAAAAAAAAAACAGACACACTCTTCAAACTAAAGTACTTGAGCAAGTTGAATTTCTTTAGGATTCTGGAGTGTCCCTTTAAGTCAGCTATGCTTCCAGTTTAATTATGTTAGTGAAGAATTTATTAAACACTTTGAATTCCCAAGAATTCTCACTTTAGTGAATAACCCTGTAAAAGTGAGAACAATCTTACACGTTGAACTGTGGTCAGAGCCCCCCAACCCTTGCCGAATATGCACACTTAACCAAAAGTGATTTTAACTTGCAACATTACCTTGCAACGTCACTGCAATGTTTTAGCCCAGTACAATAACCTTAATTTATATTTAAAGGAACACTATAGGATCAGGAACACAAACATGTATTCCTGACACTATAGTGTTAAAACTAACATTTAGGTCGTTTGCCTCCCCCTTAAAAGGGGTTAAAACTTACCTTATTTCCAATGCAGCGCGGGTCCACCAGCGCTGGCAATGCCCACAATCCGCCTCCTTGCGGACATCAGAATTTATGATTTTTAGCCAATCCAACACTTTTCGATCAAGAAAGCATTGGATTTGCTGTAATCAGCAAGGAGGCAGGGCCAAATGCTGGCATGGCCAATCAGCACCTCCTCATAGAGATGCATATCTAGGAGGAAAATTCAATGTCTCCATGCAGAGCGTGGAGACGCTGAATGGCAGTGCTGCACAGTGTGGCCATCTGAGGAGTGGCCACTTGGAGGTGTCACAAAAAAAGGCAGCATTTGCATGAAAATGCCTACAGGGCATTTTCTCTATTATACTCATCAGAACAACTACATTACGCTGTAGTTGTTCTGGTGTTCTGGTGATATAGTGTCCCTTTAATGCTTGAAAAAGGGTCAGCGTATTGGACTAAAACATTTGTGTATCCTGTGATTCCTAATAAAGTGGATTGGAATTTGCACACACATCAGTAAGGCTTTTGATACTGTTGCACATAGAAGGCTTATCAATAAACTGCAATCTTTAAGTTTGGATTCCAATATTGTTGAATGGGTAAGGCAGTGGCTGAGTGACAGGCAACAGAGGGTTGTAGTCAATGGAGTATATTCGAAGCATGGGCTTGTCACCAGTGGGGTTACTCAGGGATCTGTACTTGGACCCATTCTCTTTAATATTTTTATTAGTTATATTGCAGAAGGTCTTGATGGTAAGGTATGTCTTTTTGCTGATGATACTAAGATATGTAACAGGGTTGATGTTCCAGGAGGGATAAGCCAAATGGCAAATGATTTAGGTAAACTTGAAAAATGGTCAGAGCTGTGGCAGCTGACATTTAATGTGGGTAAGTGCAAGATAATGCATCTTGGACGTAAAAACCCAAGGGCAGAGTACAGACTATTTGATAGAGTCCTAACCTCAACATCTGAAGAAAGGGATTTAGGAGTGATTATTTCTGATGACTTAAAGGTAGGCAGATAATGTAATAGAGCAGCAGGAAATGCTAGCAGAATGCTTGGTTGTATAAGGAGAGGTATTAGCAGTAGAAAGAGGGAAGCGCTCATGCCATTGTACAGAACAATGGTGAGACCTCACTTGGAGTATTGTACGCAGTACTGGAGACCATAACTCCAGAAGGATATTGATACTTTAGAGAGAGTTCAGAGAAGGGCTACTAAACTGGTTCATGGATTGCAGGATAAAAACTTACAAGGAAAGGTTAAAGGATATTAACATGTATAGCTTGGAGGAAAGACGACACAGGGGGGATATGATAGAAACATTTAAATACATAAAGGGAATCAGCACAGTAAAGGAGGAGACTATATTTAAAAGAAGAAAAACTACCACTACAAGAGGACATAGTCTTAAATTAGAGGTGCAAAGGTTTAAAAATAATATCTGGAAGTATTACTTTACTGAGAGGGTAGTGGATTCATGGAATAGCCTTCCAGCTGAAGTGGTAGAGGTTAACACAGTAAAGGAGTTTAAGCATGCGTGGTTTATGCTTAAGGCTATCCTAACGTTAAGATAAGGCCAGGAACTAATGAAAGTATTTTAAAAAATTGGGCAGATTAGATTGGCCGAATGGTTCTTATCTGCCGTCACATTCTATATTTCTATGTTTCTACTATATATTAGAAAAAAAGATGCAGAAATTATGTACTTACCATTGTCTGCATCTGGCGTGAGGTAGATTATTTTCTCTAATGGGAATACGTCAAGAAAACAATTTTCTGTTTTATTAATCTTAGGGGAAAGAATGGACACATGCATTACTATGTATAATACAATCTACCAAAAGTAAGCAGTCTAGTCATGCAGAAAATAGCAATAGTTTCAAGGCAAGTCCTCAATGCAGTTATCACAATTCCAAGCTACCATGACAATACCAATAATTTGAAGTGGTGATTGGAGTCTGTATTTTCAACATTTCAGTAAGGAGCACTGCAAATGGAGAGTTACAGCCATTTGATGCCAGAGGTGTAATTTCACCTCTGGCAACATCGCATAGTTAGAGTCTGGCTAATGTTAATTATGTGCACGGTGGTAGTCTGTCGTCAGCACACACAGCATACTGGGGACAGGCAACCAATAGCAGCACACCCCCTTCAAATCCACCCATCAGTCCTGCCTTCTGGACACCCCTCCCCTTACACTAAGGAGGACTGACATCACCAGAAGAAGGATTGAGCTGCAGAGAGAATTTGGCCTTGGCGTGGGGGACCAGGCATGTATGGCTCACTACAACCAAAAATAGTGTTTGAAAAAAAAAAACAAAACTAAAAAACATGGATTTAAGCAATTAACAGTGCTAGTCCTCTGCCACATTTATGTAGCATCAGTAAGTAACAGGAGAGTGTTCTACCCTAGTGTGCAATATATAGGGGCACTAAGCACATTGTAGCATTTATGGTGCAACGTTTTTGAGCAATACCCTTGCACTTTAACAAAAAACGGGGCTCTTCTGGAGCCTACGATCTGACCACTTTTTGGCTGTAGAAATGGACTTGCGCATTAACTCTGCCAACTTTACATAACAATGATAAGTCGGAAGGAAAGTTACCCAAGTGCTTTTATTGCTATCCCCAATTTGATTGCTATGGAAAAGTGAATTTGCACTTCAGCAGAGTAATGTATGAGGGGCTGGGATATAGGCACTATGAGAGAACTGATTTTTGTTAAACAGCCTAAAAAGTGTACAGGGCCTGTAGACTCTTTGCACCATAAAAGTTAAGCAAGTTATGGTACTTAGAATATAATATGTGAATTAGGATATGGCACGTCACTGGCCCTTCAAGGCACAAGAAACATAGGGATTACGATTCAAATGTACTATGTAAGAAGCTCAACTTACAAGGTAATTGATAAAGCCGTCATTCATTCGCACACATTCATCATATAAAAGACTGTGTTCTACAAAACCTGTCAGGTAAAGCCAAAATGGTTTTGCAGCTTTCTTGTTTGACCCGTAGAGCCTTCTAATTTGAGCTGCAAGCCGACTTATTTCCTACATTACAGGAAGAAACTTAAATTACAAAAAAATCAACAAAAAAATAACAAAGCAAAAAACTGCAAAGCATCACACATGGATAGTTCATTCTAAAAATCAATGAGACATAACAGACTTAAGTAAAATGCAAATATAATCCTTAACTGATCTACCTGGCAATCAAACAATTAAAGAAACACTACCGTTCAGAATACAAAACTTGTATTCCTAACGCTAGAGTGTAATACTAGCTAGTTAGATAGATATCGACCCCAAAGCTATGGTACAACCATGTGGCCACTCTTCCTCTGGCTGAGTTAATCAAAACTGATGATTGCAGTCAATCCAATGTTTCTCCACAGGGAATAATTTTTTTTTTTTTTTTTTTTTTAAGGTGGGCAGGGGGAATAGTGCACATTTTCAGCAATCTCTGGGCCAATCAGCATCTCCTCATAGATATACTTTGAATTAATGCATCTCTAGGGGGAGCGTTTAGCATCTCCATACAGAGCGTGGAGATGAACATTGGTTCTGCCAACTTTGCAGGACAGCAACAAGAAAGGCCCTCTAGTGGCTGCCTGAGTCTCAGAAAAGCCAGTCTTTTTGCCCAAGAATAAACTACATTAAGCTGCAATGGCTCTGGTGCTTAGAGTATCCCTTAAAAAGGAATTCTGGTGCAAAATCTTTCCCTAGACTTATAGATATATATGAGCAGACGTTTAAGTAAAAAAGGTTGACTGACATTTCTTCTTCTTCTTGTATGTTTAGGAGGAAGCCAGTGAAGCGTGTCAAAACATACCTAGGATACCACAGATAATTGGGCCTAATTATAGGTGGTATATACATGCAGGACTAATATTTGCTAATGATGATTTTAATTTAATATATCCAAAATAAATGCTGACAAAATTAAGCATGGAGGTATAACATGGTAGAAGCCTTTTACAGTCAGTCTACAGAGAGAACACCCAAAAGATTATTCCACTATGCTTAATAAAATCACAGGATGAATAAAAATAAAATTAGTAATATTAATCCAAAATATAAAACTGTCTGTTTAATGGGCCACTATTTATACTTCATGTCTCCCATATGTATGGTAAGATATACCTATCCCTCAAACAACTTTTATATAAGCAGATATACACAGATTACTATATATATATATATATATATATATCATACACCAATGGCTGATCAGATCGCATACGATTTTTAATAAAACATTTATTTCACATGTCTTGCAGATATTGTTGAGTGGAGAGTGTACTAAGACACACAAAACCTTGTAGTCTTCAAATTACAAATCAGCTACTGATTAAAATCAGGCTTCCCCAAACTCCGGCCCTCCAGCTGTTACTAAACTACAACTCTCATGATTCTATGAATGAAATAGATAGGCTGGGAATCATGGGAGTTGTAGTTCAGCAACATCTGGAGGGCCGGAGTTTGGGGAAGCCTGGATTAAATGATCAGTTTGCTCTTTGTGGTTTTAATTGTTATGTTTTGTGTTGTTTGATTTCATAAATTAATCAGGAAGAGATGTGATGTGAATAGTATTGATACTGTTAAAGTTCCATCACATGTAGTTTTGAATATATTCTACATTACCATACAAAATAAAATTACTGTTTAAACTTTAGATACAATAAACCAAACAAATGAACTGCATATTTGGCAATAGTAATTAGAAAGCTCACATCTTGCTCAGCAATTATCATGAAATGTAAATTAATGTCGATAGCTGAACAGCAAAAGGCTTATATCTTTATAACAGAAGAGTTATAAAGCCACTTATCCATAAAATATTAACTTTGCATATAAAAACTTCCACATAGAATGTCATAACAGAAATGGATTATGCACCGACAGTCAGTGGCTTGTGTTGTACCTTTCTGCTCATGTGCATGGTCATGCTTAAGTCCACACAAAGTCTTGGACCTGTATCCTTGGCTCCCAAGACACGTTCCTTAGTTATGGCTTTCAAAAACCGTTTGCTGTGCTGCTGAGGATTGGTTCCTAAGAAAACAAATCAAACATTACTAAAATCACTAAGCCAACTAAAAGTTTTAAAGCCATCACTTTTCATTTCATAAAAAAAAAAAAAAAAAAAGAAAAGTCCATTCACAGTAAGATATATATGAAATAAATTATACACTTCTTTTCTAAACGTTGCCAACATTTGACTTTGACAAGGAACTATGGGTGAATCTTCGCATTGACATTCTGCTCTTTCACAACATTTGTCACTGACACTGCCCAATGGGAACAGGCATCTTTTTGTGCAAGCATTAGATAATGTATGACAGATCGAGTGGGCAGTGACACATGTTCCTGGCAGGTGAAGCTCTCTGGAACAGATGACTGACATGACAGGGAGTATTCTTCTTTTACTACTCCCCTGCACCATAAGTATACCAAGTAATAGACATGTCACTTTGGGGATTCGAGAGGGAGAATAAAAAAAAATTAAAAAAAATAACCAAATGCAAAAAAGAAAAATGCCTCTTAAATACAAAATACCTGCATTTGCATTTTCAGCTTGTTTAGCTTTTTTTTTCTCCTTCTCCAACTTCCTCTTGCTCTTTTTTGCTGCAACTATTTTCTCCCAATGTCTTTTTTTTCTTAAAACATTTTTCTGAAAAAATAAACAAGTGTATTTGCAATCAGGTTTCTGCTTTCATTACACTTTCTGAAAAAGTGCGGACAATGCCAGTTTAACTAGCGAACGTAATGTAAAGGAGATTAATCAGCAGAAGTAAATAAGTAAAGCCTGGCTATTATTTCAGTAGTCATAAATACAATTGCAATACTGAACCATTATGTGAAGTTCTGGAGGTCAAACATGAAAATACATTTCCACCCCCACCATCCCTCAAAGAAAGTTGGCTTTTACAATGGTCAGATTAGCAATATTTTAAAGAAATAGATACAATAAGCAAACAATTTTAAAGAATAAAAAAGGAGAAAAAAAATAATTACAAAAATTTAAAAAGCTATCAGTTTCTCAGATTTGGAAAAGTGATAAACTGAAGGGAAATTGTAAGTAACATAACAGACCTAGCTACCTGTCCTGTAAAAGGCAAACAACTTATGGTGCTTTCACTATACAACAGAATTATATAAACTACATATGATAGGTCATATGTTTGATTAGGACTACAGAGTCAATTTATATCTACAGTACAGACAATCTACTGGCTGATATTAGTGAGAATAGTTTATTCATTTTATTTGTTGAACATTACTGAAATTTTATTATGCTTTATTTCAATTTGTCGATAAAAAAGACAGACACTACAAGGCCACCACCTAATAGTATATAGTAATAGGACTGTATTTTCAGACTATTCTATATCACATGCTGCTTTTGTGGAAAGGTCTATTTTACATATTAAATAGTATGTGCGTCTCTTGCTTTTGTTTGAGATCCCACTGAACACAGTAAGTTGATTATCAGTTCATAGCAAACTAGAGACCTGTCAGCAGGGGAATCAGACCACTTATAGATAATCCAGGATGCAATGTTTTGGACCTCCCATCCCATCCTTAATAAGTACTTACTGAGCACCAGATGCCATTTTCCTTTGTGGATGAAGAAGAGCAGTCACCATCTGAATCAATTTGAAGAGTGGTAAGGATTTCTAATAATGGTTCCCCATGCTCCAGCATACAGTTTGCATTATTAGTTTCATCATGCAATTGTTCTCTATCTGGTTGAACATTCTCTTCATTAAGAGCATAGTGTTCTCTGCATGTCATGTTCATTTGTGCCACCGCGATAACTGTACCTGAAAAAACCTGTATGGCTTTCAAACACTGACAGCAATCACCATCAATGGGATTCAATGCAGAACAGCAGCAAGCATGTGAGGAGCGCTTCCTATGACGTCATCTCTTAGGGACGCAGCAGGAAATCTACGTTCGATGTGTAGTGGCGGCCATCTTTGTCCCTGGAATGGATGCCCACTGTATGAGAGCATTGATGAGTGGTCTTTGCTTTCGTCATACCATACGTGCATGGAAAACGTAACGGATGCATTTCTATTACGTTTTGTTTGAAAGGGGGTCCCCTTACAAATGAAAGTCGTATACAGTACACTTTCAAAGAGGGATTGCATGTTGAGTTGTTGTACAGCCGAAGCGATCCAGTAGGGGGCGCGCTGCTGTTTGACGGCTGCTAGCATTAAGCTCTACAGCAGAAACATCCTGCAGATCCCCCCCAAAGGTGGTGTGTGATGCAGCTATTCTCCACCTTTAGCCAGGAAAGAGGGTTATTAAAGGGACAGTTTAGGCACCATAACAACTTCATTTAGTTGAAGTTGGTATGGTATCTGGAGTGTTTAATTGAAATGGTGAACACAAATTTGAACTAATTGGATTCATCAAAATTGTAGAGCGTTAAAGGACCACTATAGTGCCAGGAAAACATACTTGTTTTCCTGGCACTATAGTGCCCTGAGGGTGCCCCCACCCTTAGGGTCCCCCTCCCGCCGGGCTTTGGGGAGAGGAAGGGGTTAAAATCTTACCTTTCTCCAGCGCCGGGCGGGGAGCTCTCCTCCTCCTCTCCTCCTTCATAGCGACGTCATGGGCTGAATGCGCATGCGCGGCAGGAGCCACGTGCACATTCAGCCAGTTCATAGGAAAGCATTTACAATGCTTTCCTATGGACGCTGGCGTCTTCTCACTGTGATTTTCACAGTGAGAAACACGCAAGCGCCTCTAGCGGCTGTCAATGAGACAGTCACTAGAGGCTGGATTAACCATATTATAAACATAGCAGTTTCTTTGAAACTGCTATGTTTATTAAAAAAAAAGGGTTAACCCTAGCTGGACCTGGCACCCAGACCACTTCATTAAGCTGAAGTGGTCTGGGTGCCTATAGTGGTCCTTTAAATAAAATATATGCAAGATGTAGCCAACATTAACTAATTTTGGAGAACAGAGTCTCCAAGTGACTTTTAGTCACGACTTGGCTGTCCCAAGGAGAACATCTTTGTTTCAGTTGAATTTATAATTTACTAAAGTTTAATATTTTGTGCCTACTTCATGCCTATCAATCATCCCAATTTTAGTGAGACAGTTCAGAGTTTCATGCATCATGACTTTGTTCCCTGGTGTCCTGCTTTTGGGCACTTTTTGGGGACACATTTTGCATTCATGGAACTAAGACCCGGCAGAGAGCACTGAAACAGCGCTCTCTACAAACACTGCTTTCAGTCGTTGGCAGCCAGTTTGATGGCACACTATTCAGACAGGTTTGCATCACTGGCCCTACCTCCAGCATCCTTGCCTTTGAGAGCGTATGGTAGCCCAGGAATGAGAATTGACCCATGATGGCATACCATTTGCAAAAGAATAAAACCCAAGGTACTGCAAGAGATTAGGAAGGATGAGAAGAAGCTGTAGTTGATCAACAGTGTCAAAAGCAGTGGAAAGGTCAAGAAGAATTAGGAACACAAGATTTTGCAGCGTGTAGATCATTGGATACTTTGTTCAGAGCCGTTTCCACATAGTACTGAGTGTGGAAACCAGACTATTGAATGGAGGAGTGTAGCACTTAGTCACTCATGTGCAGTTCCTCTATGAGAAGCATTGGATTGGACAAGATTGCTAAGACGTCTTCAAATGTGGAGTGTATGTCTGGAAGAGTCTTTGCTGGACAGCATCATTGGGGAGTCATGCACGAGCCCAGAACAAGAGTTCCGCACTGGCTAATATCAATTCTATGTATAGTTGGCTTCTGTCACCAGCACATACAACATGTTAGTGACAGCCAGCCAATGGTGGGATAGTGCTCCCCCCCACCCATTCCACCCAAGTCCTACACTCAGTGTGTCCTCCCTGACATCTCTCCCACTCCAGCCAGAAGGACTGCCAAATTTGTGCTGGAATGGAGGTCACTTATTGATATAAGTTTTTTGACATTTTTTAATTTTGAGGCAGGGCATCTCAGCAAGGGTTACTCTGCCAAAACAAGTGTTTTCTTAAATCACTGGTTTTGGTTGGCATGAAACTTTAATGGATATAATATTAATGTTTAAAATTGAAATCTCTTGCTTTCATTTCCATCAATACTCATTTTATTGCAAAAACAAATGCATACATTCTTTGTTACCAAAATCCAGTACAGGACAGTGTCATTCATCTTGAGCAAACACAATGTGTCTAAGTTAAGTGTTCAAAATAGTAAAAACAGAAAGAATAGTCAAACACTCCATGTGTACAAGTAGCATAAGTAGACATACAAATGGGGCATTAACTCTGTTTGTTGGACTTTCATACAACTTTCATATAAAATTTTTACGTACTGAATCAAAAAATATGCTTTCTGTCATGACTTGTCAAAATGCATGCACACATTGTTGATCTGTCAATTCACCTGTTTGTCTGTCATTCCTCCTATGTACTTTATCTTTTTAAAACTATTTACAATATAGTTGCTTGTAATGCTGTGGATTTGTAATATATATTCTAGTGCTAGCATATAATAAATTGACTATTTTAATTCTCTCTGTTTTTTCCCCCCATGTATTATTATTGTGGTCTATTTCTTCTCCCTCTCTCTCGCTTTCTCCCTTCCTACCTCTCATATTCACACAAGTAGTTGAATTAGTACATGGATAACCATGTCAGCAGTAATGCCACGACAAGGCTTCAACCCATGTTAATAGACATTCACACATCATTGTCCTTTCATTCACTGAATGAATTACCATTCATATTTTTATTATGACCAATCATGAAATGCTTAAACATTTGTTTTTAATATATATTTCATTGAGGCATGTTATACCTGTAGTTTGTCTGTCTATATGTCTCTCTGTCTGTCAGTTTATCTTTTTTTCCCATGTTTTCTTGATGTGGTCTGTTTTCATTTATGAATTTAATGTAATAAGATTTCAAAATGATTCAATACTTTACAAATCATTTATCTAAAATAATTCCTATAGACTTTAATTGCAGCTTCTGTATATATAAATCATTTGGAAAATATTTTAACATTATTGAATCATTTGAAAAGCTTAGTAAATTGATTCCTATGTTAGTATTATTCAGTAAAATCTAAATGCACTGTTCTTAATGGGGATTTACCCCTCCGGCTCCATATGGGCCAGTTTAGATTACAAAATCCAGAGATCCTTCACAGTATGTCTCAATGTCCAAGTTTTGCAATTCAGGCTTTTAGCGCTCTAGAATTGAATCCAGATTTTACCTTCTCTAAATGCTGCCGGATGGTTGAAACCTGGGCTCGGATGTTAAAAATCCAGGCCTGAATTTTAAATGTCAGAAGTATTTCTCTACTGGCAGTGCTGGAAGCCAGGGAACAAATAGTTGAAAAAACCCTTGGCAGTGTGCGGATAAGTCCTGTTACAGTTACCTCCAAGCTAGCTGAAGGCTGGACCGCTTGGATGTCCTAGTGAGTGTGGAGAGAGAGGAGCGCCGTTCCGTTCAGCATACCATAAGAATTCTGCGAATATAAAGCAATCCCACTAGGTATGGTACAGCTAGGATACCCTTGTTCCCACAAAACGAGTCGAGGCTGCGATTTGAGGGTCAAAACGAACTGGGTTTAATGGCACACAGGCATCGCTATTTATGCAAAACCCCAGGTCCAGGGACAGCCCCCTCTGGACCTGATGGGATACAGGGACAATACAAACAGTTGACCAATAGTATTACAGTGTATCATTTAAAATGGTCACTGCCCAGCTTGGAGATAATGACTAACGGTTATGGCAATTTAATTATCTCCAAGCGCCCAAAATCCCACGTTTTATTGTAACTGGTAAAACAGTATAAAAATACATAATTATAACATATTAATAGACACATATTATATTCCACCATTCGTTGGATAGCCCAGATCTGAGCACAGCAGATAGGCGAATAGCGCTCAGATCTCCCGGACGGTATAGCCAGTCTCTTCAATACAAAGTCTTTTTGTGCCTTTTTGTCCCGAACACGAGATGGCGGCCATGTTTTCAGGCTGGTGAATAGAGAGCGGGACCTGGCCCTAAAACCCCTGGAGCGAGTAGCGGATGAACAATTGTGCGAATACCACTCAGTGGATGGTTGTCCCAGCCCGTTGTGAGCCAGAGACCGCCATGAAGGGGGTACTTAGCTTGTGGTTAACCGCAGATCCAACGTTCTAAATGGGGGCCACATGCACGGGTGTAGGTGGTCCTCGTGAATTATTATCTGAACGAGGCCACCCTAAGGCAGTCAATTAGGCTTGTGGTTAACCGCAGACCGCAGCTTCCGGGTGGTCAATTGGAAGCACACTCCGCTTGTAAGGTGGTTGGTCGTTCGGTTGTTTTAGAGGTGAAAAAGGATAAGTGGCGGCACACGTCAAGGGCCGGGAGGTCTTTTGTTACATAGTCCTGACTGTTCGTGTAATGTGTTTTATACATTATAACTACCGAAACAGAGTATACGGTAAACTAAACAGGGTAATCCCGTAACGATCTGTAGAGCGCCCGTAACAAGTCCCATAAGCTTTTATTTTATTTATTTTTACACCTCCTCCTTCTTTTTCTTTTTAACTTATTTGTATTCTTCTACTTTACCTTTTTCTTCTAATCTTTCATCTTCTTCTTTGCTACCTCCTTTTTCTTTTCTTCACCTCCCCCTCTTTCTTCTTGGTTGCTTTTCCTTCTTAATTTTTTACTCCTCCTGCTTCTTCATCTCTTCATCCTCCTTCTTCACCTTCTCCATTTCCATCTTTTCCTCCCTCAACACCTCCTCCTTCTTCGTATTTGCCACCATCTACTCCTTCTCCTCATTTTTCTTCGCCTTAATTCCTCCTTCTTTGCCTCCTTCTCTTCATCTTCTCCTTCTCATTAACCTTTTTCATTGGCTCTTCCTCCACTTTTTATCAAATCCATCTGCATCACCTCTCTTTTTTTTTCTTCTTTGCCTACTAATTTTTTTATTCTTCAACTTCTCCTCCCCTTCTCTATCTTATTTGCATGCTCATACTTAGAGATGGGCGGACACCTGGATGTTCGGGTTCGCCGGGTTTAGGCCGAACTTTGGCAAAAAGTTCGAGTTCGGACTCGAACTTGATCCCGAACCCCATTGAAGTCAATGAGGACCCGAACTTTTGGGCACTAAAATGGCTCTAAAAAGTCCTGGAAAGGGCTAGAGGGCTGCAAAAGGAAGTAAAATGGGGGTAAGAGTAGGACATGTGCCCTACAAACAAATGTGGATAGGGAAATAACTTAAAATAACATAAAATACATAAAAAGTAAAAATAATAATCTTGAACTAGGAGGAGGTGGATGTGGAGTAGGAGGTTGAGGAGGCGGTGACCGTGGCGGTGTAGGTGGAATCGGCGGTGGAGGAGGAGGTAGCCAACACTGTTTTTTTTTGTTTGTTTCTTGTTTTTTTTAAATTGGGGTAGCCCCCAAAATATTGGGACATATAAAAAAAGAAAACAAAGAATAAGTGCACTTGAGTATAACAATAGCTGGGTGAGGCCGGTATAAATGTCTATTCTGCACAAGGTACAGACAAGTCTGGTGGGATCCATGCCTGGTTCATTTTAATAAATGTGAGCTTGTCCACGTTGGCTGTGGACAGACAGCTGCGCTTGTCTGTGATAACGCCCCCTGCCGTGCTAAACACACGTTCAGAAAATACACTGGCTGCAGGGCAGGCCAGCACCTCCAAAGCATAAAGGGCAAGCTCAGGCCATGTGTCCAATTTGGAGACCCAGAAGTTGAATGGGGCATACCCATCAGTTACTTCACTGTCTCAAAAAATTTGAATTTGTCAAACAATGTAACAGTAGTATTTAAGGGTTTTATTGGACTGCAAGAAATGCACCACAGGCCGCAAATGTTCTATTTAGCACAAAAAAGTGTGATTTTTTTTAAACCAACAATGTAAGAGTAGTATTTAAGGGTTTTATTGGACTGCAAGAAATGCACCGCAGGCAGCAAATGTTCTATTTAGCACAAAAAAGTGTGATTTTTTTCAAAGTATTTGACGGTTCTATTTGACTCTCAGATAAGAAGTGCACGCCCCAAATTTACTTTTTAGCACCAAAAAAATTAGAATTTTTCAAAGTGCGATGTAACCACAGTATTTGACGGTTCTATTTGGACTCTCAGATATGAAGTGCACGCCACAAATGTACTTTTTAGCACCAAAAATGTTTTAATTTGTCAAACTGCAATGTCACAGCAGTATTTAAAAATGCATCGATGTTGCCAACTGAGCTACCAGAACAGGATTAAAGTAATGTGCCTGGCACGCATGCAGTTGCGAGTGCCCACCTAACAAACAGACTGATTGCTTATTTCTCTGTGGCACTGGGCTCAGGGCAGGGTGCAAAAATGTATTATAGCACCCACAAAAATAATCGCTGTAGTTTGCAGATTCAACACCAGAATTCTTTCCTAATCTGTCCCTCACAGCTGCAGCATCCTCTCCCTACACTAATAAAAGCTCATGTGACTCCAGCTTATATAGAGGATGGGTCACATGCTGCCCTGGTCAATCACAGCCATGCCATTAGTAGGCATGGCTGTGATGGCTTCTAAGGGCACACGAGTCAAACGCTTGTTGATTGGCTGCCCTGCAGCTTTTCAAAAGACACCATTAAATCGCCGAACACCGAACTCGAACCCGAACTTTTACTGAAATGTCCGGGTTCGGGGTCCAAAATCATAATGTTCGGTACGAACCTGGACTTTGAGTTTGCTCATCTCTTCTCATACTCCTTCTGCGCCTTCTAACCCCTCATCTTCTCCTCCTCCATGCTCTTTGTTTCTCATCATCCTTCTTCAAATTTACTTCACCTTCCCCTCCCAAATTCTACTCATCCTTCTTTGCCTCCTCGTCATACGTTTTGTCCTTCACCTCCTCCTTCATCTTTTACTTGTTTTCCTTCTTCACCTTCTTCTGCTTCATAATTCCTCCTAATAATTTCTGTACTCTTCCTTGCTTGCCTCCCCCACTTCATTATTTTTCTTCTCCTTGTTCTTCTACTTCAACTCCTCCTCCTCTTCTTCTTTGCTGCCATCTACTCCTCCTTTTTCTGTGTCATCTCCCCCTTCTTCTTCACCTCAACCCCTCCTTCGCTTCCTCCTGCTTTTACCTTTGCTCCTCCTCCTAATTCTTTCTTCTTCACATTCTTTCTTCTCTTTTTCTAATCCGTCAGCTTCACCGCCTTATCCTCTTTCTTCTTCTTCACCTCATGATTTTCCTTCTTATTTTTCTTCAACACCTCCTCCTGCTTCTTCTTTGCCTGCTTATATTCTTCCTCATTCTTCCTTACCTCCTCCTTCTTCTTTCCATCCTCTTCTTCTTCACCTTCTCATTCTAATTCTCCTTCTTCACCTCTTCCACTCTCTTTTGTAATACATCTTCACCTCCTTCTTCTGCTTTGCCTCCTTTTTATTCTTCTTCAGCTCCATCTTGTCCTTCTTCACCTGTTTCTATTTCTCCTCTTTCATTCTCTTTCCCTCCTCTGCTTTTCTTCCTAGGCCTCTTATTCTTCTTTGCATCTTCCTCCTTCTTCTTCCTTGTCTGCTCCTTATTCTTTGCCTCCTCCTTTTCATGTTTGCATTCCCCCTCATTCTTCTTCATCTTCTACTCCCTTTAATCTTTAATCGTCTTCTCCTCCTCCTCTTTCTTTTTCATCACCTCCTCTTACTTATTTGCCTCCTCCATTTTATTATTCTTTTTCTTCTCCTCATTTTTAATCTTGTTTGCTTCTATTCCTCGTTTTATTCTACACCACCAATATTTTTTCACTTCCTTATCCTTATTCTCCTTTTTCTTTACCTCCTTCTCGTCGTTCCCCTGCTTTATTTTTTTGCCTCATTTTTCTAATACTTCGTCTTTGTCTCCTCTTTCTTCTTCATCACTTTTACTCCTTTTTCTTATTTATCTCCTCACCTTCCTTATTTTAGCTCATCACCCTCCTTTTTTTCTTCACCTTCTCCACCTATGTTTTTTAATTCTTCTGCACCACCTCCTCTCTCTTCTTCTTGCCTTCGTCTTCTTCCTTTTCACTGCTCTTTCTTTTGCCTTCTCCTGCTTCTTCTTCGCCTTCTAAGGTAACAACTTGGCCTAGTTCACTGAATTGCTTTATTGGATAATTCCTCTATAATTGGATACATACCGGAATTGGATTTGAATAATTGTCTCCCTTAAAGGAACATAGCAAAATACTTGACTTAAGAATCCTCACCTACAACTTCTTCTGACATTTTGCCTTTATCCCTGAAATTATCAGTAATCCATTTTCCTGTAGAAAAAAAGAAAATAAAGGTAAGTTGTTTTATTACTTTATCTTGACAGTATTAATTATATGATATCTTACTTCTTCGCCTCCTTCTCCTTCTTTTTCATCTCTTTCTCCTCCTCTTTTTTCTTATTTGCCTCATCCTTCTTATTCTTCATCACCTCCTCCTTAATCTTAGTCTATTAACTTCCTACCTATTTGTTTTTGCCTTCATCTTCTGCAATTATTCCTCCTCCTCCTTCTTCTACCTCATTTTTACTCCTCCTTTTCCATCTCATCATCTGCCTCCTTTTTCCTGACCTTCTCATTCTCCTCTTTAAGATGCTTCATCTCCTTCTTCTGCTTTACCTCACCCTACTTCTACTATGTTGTCTAAATTCCTACCTTTTATTCGTTTTATTCTATGCATCTTCCTTCTTCTTGTTTGCTTCCCTGCTTATTCTTTTACTTCACCTCCTTCTTCTTCATTCTGCACTCTTTCTCCCCATCTACTTCTTCTTCTTTGCATTCTTCTTCTTCACTTCTTTTTTTAGTCCTCTTCCATCTTGTTCACCTCTTACTTCTCCTTCGCGTCCTCCTACTTCTTTTTCTCCTCTTTCTCCTTCACCTTTGCCCCTTTATTCGTTGTCTCCTACTTCTTCTTCGTGTTCTTCTTCTCTATTCCTTTTTAATTTCTTTCTTTGCCTCTCAGCCCTATTTCTGCTTTGCCTTCTACTTTTTTGCCTCCTCCCCCTTCTTTTCTCCACCTCCTCCTTTTCCTTCACCTCCACCTCCATTTTACATTTTCTTCCCCCTTCTTTTCTTCGTCCTCTTTCTTTTTCTACTTCTTCGTCTCCTGTTACCCCTTCTACTTCTTTGCCTCACACTTTCTCTTTTTCTTGTAATACTTTACCTATTCCTCCTCCTCTTTTTTCTACGCCTTCATCTCTTCGTTTTTCTAAATCTTCCTTTACTTCTTCTCCCCATATTATTATTTTTTACTCCATCATCCTTCTTCATCTATTTTATCTTTTCTATCCCCTTGTTTTTCTCATCCATCTACTCCACTCCCTTCTTCCTCTTCGTTGCCTCCTCCTTTTACTTCTTCTCCTTCAACTCTTTCATCTGACCCTTCTACTCTTTCACACTCTTCATATTCTCCTCCTTCTTATTCTTTTTGTTCACTTCTGCTACATTGTCTCCTTTCTTCCTGTTTCTACTCCTTATTCTTTGATTACTCTGTCTACTTAAATGCTTCACCTCCGTCTTCTTCATTGTCCCCTCTTTCTCCTCCATCTTCTTATGCTTCTTTCTCCTCCCTTTGATTTTCTTTGCCTCCTCCTCCATTTTGTTAACTTTTTACTTTTTCTCCACCTCCTCCTCCTCCTCCTTCAGCTTAGCCCTTTTATTCTCCATTTCCTACTTCTTCTTTGTGTTCCTTTTTTAAAAATTCTTTTATTTTATTTTATATATATCAAAACACACACACTTTAAAAACACACATCTGAAACAAATACCTCACAAAAGGAAAAACAAAAACAAAACAACACAAATTATAATAAAGTGGTTGATGCCATACTGGATTTTAATTTCTAGTTATATTTGTTTTGGGAGCTAAAATATATTAATATTTCTTGTTGTAGCGGGGGGAATTTTATATCCATCCATTATCCATATATTACGATGATATTTAATTAACCCAGACCTTGTGTCTTCCAGTGTCTAACCAGTGTCTAACCGCTTCTTTGACTAGAATATAATTTTTTCCTGGTATTAGTCCTCTTTCCATTTGAAGTTAAAAATGTATTTGTTCTTTTAAGAAGTGCCATATAGGGACTTCTTGGATTCTCCATCTCCGGGCAATTAGGATTTTTGCCCCTATTAAAATATGTAGAGCCAGGTATTTTTGCACCTTATTCCGATTTGGCCAATTTAGGTGTAGGAGATAGGTTTATTGTTCTCTTCTAATTCCCCTGATCTCTAAGATTTCAAAAATTGAGGCAACCAAATCCCAATATTTTTCTAACTGTGGACAACTCCGCCAAATGTGACCAAAGGAACCCATTTCTTTTTTGCATCTCCAACACTTACTCTAGCACTTCCTGTACATCTTATTACATTTTTCTGGCACCAAATGCCATCGATACATCATTCTAAATTGCAACTCTAAAATATTTAAACAATGAATAGTTTTTTTTAAGTTGCAACATATTATCCCATGTCTGATGTCTCTTTCCCATCTTATCCAAGCCTTAGATTTTGTAACCTGGTCGTCTAATTTTTCAAGATGATTGCTTTTGATAAGCTTTCTGACCGTAATTTACTTTTTTTTTGTATTTCTATAGCATTCATTCTTTCTTTTATTAAAAAGCCTCTTACCCTTAAATAAGTGAACAGTTTGTTGCTAGGGAGAGAAAACTCTACCATGAGTTGAGGGAAGTCTTTAACTTTCTCACCTTCCAATAATTGACCATATCTACATAACCCTTTTTGAATCCATCTTTTGATGCCTAAATCTGAAATATTTCCATCTAAAAAAATTAACAAAGTATCAGGGAGAACAAAACAATGAATGCCCATCTTCTTTTTCCATTCTCTCCAAAATCCTAAAAGACTATTCATTATCAAATTATTTTTATAAGCATTTACTTCATTTTTATTGAAACCTTAAGATAATAAAAGGCTCAGGTCTTTTAAACCAGAAAGATTAACTTCGGTTTTATACCATGTTTCCTGTGTCTCTTCTATTCTAAGCCATTTAAACAGATGCCATCATGATATTTATTTATTTATGGAAAATCCAAGCTTACCTTAGTTATATCTCTGCTTAGAATTTTGAAGCTAATTTGAGATTTCTTTCCTCCCCAGACATGTTTTACAAAGGACTTTTGAATCTCTCTCAACCAGGATCAAGAAAAGGCTAGAGAGACGAATCTGAACAAATATGTCCATTTAGGGAGAATATAACTCCTCACTATTTTCAGTCTTCCCCACCAAGAAACCTCTAGATTGCTCCATGTATTCAAAATTTTGGATGTTTGGGATAATGAAGGTTTAAAATTTAAATATAATAATTTATCTGTGTCTGTTGTAATTTTTATCCTCAAATAAGTGGTCTCTTTTTAGGCCGATGAAAATTCATAATTGGTTTTTAAAAACTGTGATTCTTCATCTGTCACTTAAATCAACATAGCACAACTTTTGCTGATAATTAATCTGTAATTTGATACTTGTCCATATTGTTCAATTTCTGTTAACAGAAATCTCAACAAGTTTATGGGATCTGTTAGTGTTAAAACTATGTCAGTGTAAAGACACATTTTCCCCTCTTTTATATCTTTTGGGCAGCCTTTAATCCCTTTATGTTCTCTAATTGTTTGGACAAACAGTTCTAGAGTAAGGATGCATAGGAGGGGAGATCAAAACCATGGAAAACCACGATATACCAGCTCCTACAATCTTTTGCCGATGGAGAAACATACAGCGTATTTATAAAATCTAAAATTCTACCACAAAATTCAAACTTTCTCAAAGTAGCTATCATAAACCCTAGTTCAAAATTCAGCATCTCCATGCAGAGGGTGGGGATGCTGAACGGCAGGGCTGCTTACTGTGCAACCCTGAGCCAGGAAGCCCCTCCAGTGGCCATCTGAGAAGTGGCCACTTGCAGGTGTCCTTTTCTCTGAAAAGGCAGTGTTTACATGAAAATGCCTGAAGGGAGCTATTATACTCACCAGAACAACTACATTAAGCTGTAGTTGCTCTGGTGACCATAGTGTCCCTTTAATATATGAAGAATAAACTTTTATCAGAGTATACAATCCTCCGAAACAAATCTTTTCATCTTTTGGAAAGTATTGCTCTGCTAAGCCAATGTATTATGAATAACATGTGTCCAATGTGTCTTCAAATATAAGCCTAAATAGTTCCAAATCATATAAACATACATATTTACATTGTGATTGTCAATTTGAATGTGTGATGTGTAGAGAGAGAGTCAGTTCACCCTATAATTTTCCCTTCATCTTTACAGTACCTATTGCAAAATTCCCATATCATTTAAATAAAGTTTGTATCATATATTTTTAATATCTAATATTAATTAAGTGGACGAGAGAGTATCACTCTCTCATATCATTACCTCACTTCATCATAGTATACCTTGTGGCTTCCTTTTTTATCTAGTATTTATCTTATTAAAAAATATAATTATAATGGAGTATACAATCTTCTTCTATATCATTACTTCCTTCCCATTTATATGAAACTGCAGTGATATTAACTACAAAAATATTTTTTTTTATAAAAAAACTGCAGAGAAGAAAACATTCTTCTCTCTTCTTCTATTTTCTTTGTGTTC